TGCAAAAGCTACATGCAGAGGGACTGTCCGGACAATGCGATTGCTGTAGCTTTTGTTTTACAAAATAACATGGTAATAAACGTTTCACTTTACCAAAGAAGATATAAATATGTATTTAACCATTTATCAATTCCCGATAAGTCCTTCGCATCTGACCTATTACGGCTATCAATATTTACCACTGAAATTCAATTTGACAAGAAAAAAAACAATAACATAAGCAAATCCTCTTTCATTTGCATCAACTACCAGGTAGCCAAATACTAGTCAAAAGTAAATGGCGGCTTAACATACCTATTAGAAAGTGGCAAGCAAAACACTAGAATATTTAATATAAATTAACAATAACATTATCTTGTATCTTATATGTGTAAGACTATTGCATTGAAATTAATTAAATAAATTGGATTTAATGCCTCTCTATAAAACTAAACATATTTGTTACCAAATATCATCATTTATGCATTTAAGATATAACTCTTGGCTTTTACAAATATGCTGCAAGTGCGTATTTGATTCGAATATCGAATCAAGTTTCCCGTTTCATCCACCTAACATACTTATAATGGATATTGGTTGATTCAAATATTAAAAATTCAAGATACAATAACTAAAATTATAATAATAAAAAAAAATTAAAGTTAAAACTGAAAGTGAACTCAGCAAGTTTGCTATTAAAAATTCTTCCGTACTCTTGAATTAAATTGAAATTAAAAATTGAAAACCGGCCGAAAATAATTTTATGAATTTGATATTGATTTTCGGAACTTGAAAAATATTTTCTGTTTCACAATAAATATCTTTCATTAACGTAACGTTGCAAATTTCGCTTACCAATAGACGGTCAGACAGGTACTACCCCCCCAGATAATTTTACCAAAATAATTGGGTTACTTGCGTTAGCTTCGCTCAATGTGGACACTATTTCGGACACTGGCCGTAGAGGTACAAATCGGCAGTACATAAACTGATTGGGGTGGGACATGGTTCCGTATTTATAATGGCTGGTTATCAGCGATGAAGTAGGGATAATGACTAATGGATTGGAATATAATTAATACGCAGGTATTGCTTCCAGGTCGAATTGGTAAAGTAGTTTTCAAAAATAAAAATCCAATAAACGAAAACCTACAGGTAGATAGCTCTAGGTACGACCAAAATGTAAACATTTTTTACCCTTTTATTGTAATCCTGATATTATCGCAACATCAAAAACAAAATAATTTACCCAGGTTTTAAAATAAATCTCAACGCCGTGCATTTTCGAACTCACATTCCTGAAGAAACCGCTCCAGATAACTTTAAAGTAGGCCCATGCCCATGCTTTCGTTGCAATTTTTATACAACATTATTTTGTGGTTTTGTGGTTTGGTTTCAAGCATTGAAATATACCAAAAAGATTGATGATCTCGCCTAGTTCATTAAATAGTTTCAATATCAATAACGCAGCATGCTCAATGAAAAAAAACTTTTGAGATTGCGTTCTAGACAGGTATCACATCATCAGAAAAATTTAGATCACTTATTGTGGTTGAAGCTCAAAATACGTTTCTCACCCTTGCTAGATAAATATAATCTTGAAAACAATTTGAAGGAGTAAATTTCTGTTTTATAAGATCTTTTATGTATCACGTGGTCATAAATGGTCGAATGGATGAGATTATAGGTAAGTTTGCTTCATATTCATATTGGTAGTCCGTTTATTATGGGATGACACTTTATCTTTGCATCGTTTGCACTTTCGTGAACGAGTAACAATAACTTTGTTATTTTCAATGAAGCAGTCTGTATTTCAAAGCATTTTTAAATTCCTCCCAAATTTATAAACGTATGTATTTCATATATAATATCCTACACCTAAGTTCTTACCGTTTCGGAGACATTATACATCAAAAGTGACGTTTGCGGCTCTAACGTATCTGTCAATTTATCCGTCTGGACGTCTTTCTCATATATTTGGGGTTTTATCATAATATCAAAAAAAAACGTGACCTTGTAAAAAGCTAGATTTCGAAATATTCATTATAAAAATGCAAAATGTCTATTAAGGGCTAAGATGGCTACCAAACATGGCAGCAAAAAAATTAAAAGCTACAAAAATGTTTGCTGTTTGACAATATATTGTAAAATTTATAAATCATGCTAGGTAATTAATTTACTAAACCAAAAGTTATTATATAGAATAGAATAGACCGTTTTATAAAAAAACTCATTTGCGATGGCCGACTCAAGTAATAAACATTTCTTTAATTTTAAATTTTCTGTTAGTATTAGTATATACATCAGACAACTTATTTGTATTAAAATAAGAATAAAAAATGACCACGTTAGCCTGCATAAAACCATGAAATTTGATTTCCAAACTCCAAAATGCCTTTTATGAATGGAATGGAATAGGAATTTACGAATGACATAAGAATATAGGGTGTTCTATTCAAAATATAAAAATGTTACTTTTGCACCTGTATAAATGAATCAACAACAACAAACAACTTTTGTCTATATTATTATTTTTACAGGTTGTCTATTTCTTATTAAAAAAATGTTTTTCAGAAGTATCAATCCTTGCTGTAACTGGTAATACTGTACTGTACATTTTTTATTGCCCATCATCAAAAATGGCAATTGAAAATTCCGGTGGCTTGATTCAAATTATAACTTTACCTACCCCCTTCCGTATTATAACATAATAATGTGAAGTAAAATAAGGGATATATCAGTCTTGAAAGTTACAGAAACTCAAGTAAAATATTTAATGGGATTAAACGTCATATTAACAATCTTTAGAAATGGTTTTATTGGAAGAATTACAAATTCATTAACTGATATTTACGAAAATGAGGGTTAACGATTACAGGTAGGCAATATTCGCTCGCACATTAGCAAACCTTCGTTAATATGTCTAGACCATCTTAAACGTTTGAAAAAAGCACCTTCGAATGATATAGGGAGTCCTCTTAATCAAATAAAAACGAAAAATATATTTGTGAGATAAGATTCCAGATTTTATTTAAAAAAATATACCTAATATAAAAAGTTACATATTAAAAATCTATAAAACATGCTCATACTTACATTTGTTATATATTTTGTTGGCATAATAACTGATTTTCAGACAATGTATTTTCAAGATGTCATGTTTTAGATTTTAAAAATAGTGACCCAATTTCTAATATAATTTTTTTAAATAAATTTTTATAATTATTATGGATTTGGCTTATTTTTAGTTTATATTGCATATAGATTAACAGGATGACTATCTCACCTACGTTTAAGAATGTTAATAAAGCTAACAATATGGCAATAATACGTCTCTAACGAAATGTAGCATTCGCACTTTAAAAACGTCTGCATGTATTTAAGTTTATAAAATTTAAAGACTCATATTTCTACCACAACTTAAATCCGACAAAAATTTTGCATCATTTACATCAGGAATTCTTTTAGGGTATTTCCGTTAATGCAAAAATAATTAAATAATACAGTCATGCCACAGACTGGACAAACGACTTTTTAACGTCGGATATTTGCAAGCAGAATGCTTCTTGCTATTCTATTCTAAAATGTTTAGTGTAAAAAGTGTAGAAAAAAGAAATAGTAGTCAAGAGATAAATAATAAATGAAGGCCAAAGTTATAAAATTGTTTTAAATATTATATAAAACAATATAAAAAAAAAAGAGAATAATAAAGTCAGAAGTAACGACTGAGACCTATTGGATGTTTTAGTACTTCTTCTGTGCCAATTTGTACAACAAAAAATTTGAAAAACCGCGTTGCTTTTTTTTCTTCTAATAGAAGGACATAAGTCCTTTAAATTTTAAAATTAAAATCAAATCAAAAAATGAGTTTTTTCTACAAAATTTACCAAATGAACTTTCTACGCGTGAGACGAAAATGAAGATAGACAATGATTCTTTTTCGCAATGTTATTACCCAAAAATTGCGCCATAATGCTTTTATATATCAACAATTCTTATAGACAAGCGACTGAGAAATTTATCTAACACTATCGTTGCAATTTGTAAACGCAAAAGTTTTGCTATCAATTGAATAGCCGTATGTTATCGTTCACGGCATGTAGATGTTATGGCTACGCTATTAAATTAATTTCTTATCATAGATACGTTTCAACATGTCGGTAACAAAGGTTTGCAACAATAGTCTTTCTTTCAAAATTGAACATTCGAAGAATCGATGTTGATCTTGAAAATTCATTTTATCAGGATATATAGGAACACAGACACCCTATAGCTATACATAACAATTAAAAGAAAGAAATCTTAAAATAATTCTTCAATTAAAATATTTGTAATTTGGCCAAATTATTTCTGTCGCTTCGGCGTGTTTAGTTTTGCTTAGTTTTTTTATTTTTACGACATATGTCCTAAAATGGTTTTAAAAATAAGGAACTGAATTTAAATTTCGTTCTTGTCGGTAATACAGATTCGTGCAATATTGTCTGTGGTTGATAGTGCACAAAATAAAATTTTATTTGACACAACAATTCATAATTTCGGAAATAAATTATTCTTTATGCTAATAATTAGATCAATCGCAAATTGTTGGGATGGTTGGCAAGTATTGGACTGAGGTGGCTTTTACTTGATAAAAATTCATTTATCAAAATAAATAAGAACTAAAAGTTCAGATTTTCACGAAATTATATATTTTGATATTAAAATATATAACTTCGTGAAAATCTGAAGTTTTAGTTGTTATTTATTCTGATGGTTGGCAAGGTTCCTTTTTGATAACAATTCCGAATAGGGCAAGTTTGTTCTTGAGAGAAATGAGCCACATTTTTATTTTCGGAATCTCTTTATTCTATGTTGGAATCGAAATGTGTCTTAGAGATTATTTATACAGGAGGATGAATTGCAAGCTCATTAGGAAGAACCTCTAGAAAAAGTTCCCATCATGTGTTAACTGACCGAATGATCTTAGTGACTTATTCACTAAAGAAAAAAGAGGAAGAAGTGACAATGATATTAGGTGTTGTTTTGTTTTTGTTATCTTGATCTGTGGTTGAGTTCGAGTGCAAACAAGCAATTAATTTAGTACTTTTAGATAAAAACTTGTAGAAAACTGGTGTCAACTGATAACATAATCACACCTTAGTCGCTGCCATAACCGCATGTAATATTAGTTATCTCCCAAAATTCGAAAATACTTTAAGAGGATACGTGACTTAACTCTTTGTAAAAATGGCAGGTAACATTTATTCATAAATAATTTATAAGTAAGAAAATAGTTTTCATTTTTTAGAAAACAATCCTTACAACAAGTATTTAAAAACTCTGACTGTGGGGAGCAAGGAATATATTTACTACGATTTATCCTCGTTAGGAGAACAATACAGTAAGTAGTCATTTTTAGAAGTATTTGTGTCCATAAATAATGAATAATTTTAGATCGTTTGCCATATTCTATAAGAATACTGCTCGAATCTGTAGTGAGGAATTGCGACAATTTTTCAGTAAAAGATCAGGACGTACAGAATGTCCTTAATTGGGAGACAAATCAAGATAGTCAAGATGGTGTTGAAATTCCATTTAAACCAGCCAGAGTTATTTTACAGGTATTTGACAAAAATGTATTTTCACCTATATTTTATTCGATGTTTTTGTTGTATCTGTTAGGATTTTACTGGTGTACCTGCTGTAGTTGATTTTGCAGCTATGAGGGATGCTGTAAAAGATTTAGGTGGAAATCCAGAAAAAATCAATCCCATTTGCCCTGCCGATCTTGTTATTGATCATTCTGTTCAAGTTGACTTTGCAAGATCGTAAGTTTTAAAGGTGTATATATTATTTTAATGAGTTATATCTAAAGGTATTTAGGTCTGACGCCTTACAGAAAAACCAAGACCTGGAATTTGAAAGAAATTTTGAGAGATTTATGTTTTTGAAGGTAACTGATTGAAAATATTAAACAGCATTAACAAAGGTGTTCCTTTGTAGTGGGGTGCCAAAGCCTTTAACAACATGTTGATTGTACCACCAGGAAGTGGTATTGTCCATCAAGTTAACTTGGAATATTTAGCAAGAGTGGTATTCACTGGAACTAGAAAACCTATTTTGTATCCTGACACAGTGGTAGGTAAATGTACATGTTACATAAATTAGGTATAAAATTTTTGTTTATCAGTTTGATGGTAATTCATCTTTAAGTACCCTTTTAGCAAAATATGTTGTTTTATGTGAAGGACAATCATTCGAGACAATGCTTGTTAAATTTAATTTTTAACATTTTGCTATCAAGATTTTAACCAAAATGTAAACATTAGTCATTATTTGAGAAACTTATCAACTTGAACTATTTTTTTGAAACTGGAGGACATAACTTTCAAAGTAATTAGTGTTAAAATACTTAATAACTTTTAATTATTGTTTATTTGAAATAAAATTCACAGCACGCAAATATACCCAGAGAGCAAATTTTTCTAAAGGTTTTTCTAGGTTGGAACTGATTCTCATACTACAATGATAAATGGTCTAGGGGTTTTGGGATGGGGAGTTGGAGGAATTGAAGCTGAAGCTGTTATGCTTGGTCAAGCAATTACCATGTTGTTACCTCAAGTTGTTGGATACAAACTCTATGGCACTTTGGGGCAATATGTTACATCAACCGACTTAGTACTAACTATCACTAAGGTTTGACTTAATATTTGCTGATGAAATTGCAATCTAAAGGTGCCATTTTATTAGCATTTGAGACAAATTGGAGTAGTTGGAAAATTTGTTGAATTTTATGGATCTGGAGTATCTGCCTTGTCAATTGCAGATCGTGCAACAATTTCCAATATGTGTCCTGAATATGGAGCGACAGTTGGATTTTTCCCTGCTGATGAGACTTCCTTATCATATTTGAGACAAACAAGTAACAATAATGCTCTATAAAGTTTTAAAATGTTATAAATAAAAAAAAATGTAAAAATCAAACCTAAAATTTCATCCCATAAAGTTATGCCATCATTGGTGTGATTTTTCATTTTAGATCGATCAGAAGAACAAGTCAAATTGATTGAAGGCTACTTGTTAGCTACAAAACAAATGAGAAACTATGCATCTGAAGAGAATCCCATTTTTAGTCAAACATTTGGCCTTGATCTGTCTACAGTTGTGTCATCTGTTAGCGGACCTAAGAGACCCAATGACAGGGTTTCTGTATCAGATATGAAAAATGATTTCATTAGCTGTTTGACCAACAAAGTAATGAATGAGCAACCACTGCATTGAATTAATTTAACGTAATTTTATTTCCAGATTGGGTTTAAAGGATTTGGCTTGACCAAAGAAAAGGTTGAAACTAGAGCTAAGTTTATGTTTGATGGAAAACCTTACACTATAGGACATGGTAGTGTTATTATTGCCGCTATAACATCATGTACCAATACAAGTAATCCCAGTGTTATGCTAGGAGCTGGTTTGCTAGCAAAAAAAGCTGTTGAGGCTGGTCTAACAGTGAGTATTCAAAATATATTTGTATCATTTTACAACTAACTAACTGCATCAATGTGTTATTTTAGGTGGAACCTTACATTAAAACTAGTTTATCACCGGGTTCCGGTGTGGTCACTTATTATCTTCGTGAATCTGGGGTCATACCAGCCTTGGAACAGCTCGGATTTGGTGTGGTTGGATATGGATGCATGACATGCATAGGAAACTCTGGAGGTGGGGGAATGATTAGAATCAGGAGAAATTTTGCTATTTTGTTTTCTTTTATTAGGAATTGATGAAAACATTGCCAATGCCATCGAACAAAATGATTTAGTATGTTGTGGAGTTCTTTCGGGCAACAGAAACTTTGAAGGCAGAGTACATCCCAACACCAGAGCGAATTATTTGGCTAGTCCACTCCTAGTTATAGCGTATGCTATTGCCGGTAGAGTTGATATTGACTTTGAGACTGAACCTTTGGGTGAGTGAGATGAAATTTAAAGACAACTTTTGGCCTTTGTTTTGCAGTTCTGATTAGTTTCATAATGAAAACGAATTTTTTGTTTTAGGTACAAAGGCTGATGGCACCAAAATTTTTTTGCGCGATATTTGGCCTACTAGACGTGAAATTCAGACCGTTGAACAACAACATGTCATTCCCGCAATGTTTAAAGAGGTGTATGCCAAAATTGAAAATGGATCAAGCCAGTGGCAAAAAATGAAAGCTCCAGATGGTACAAAGGATAAAATTTTTATATTTTGTTATTAAATTGACTGTAATGTTAATAACTGTTTTAGGTAAACTATATCCCTGGTCCAACGAATCTACCTACATAAAAAAACCTCCTTTCTTTGATGGAATGACCAGGGACCTTCCATCACCAAAGCCAATACAAAATGCAAGGGTGCTATTATTCTTAGGAGATTCAGTAACCACTGACCATATTAGTCCTGCTGGGTCCATAGGCAGAAGTAGTCCTGCCGCCAGGTAAGGTCTTGATTGATTCTAATCAAGAAAATACTTAAAAAAATAAATGTGCAGATTTTTGGCTTCAAAAGGTTTGACACCAAAGGAGTTTAATTCATATGGATCCAGAAGAGGTAATGACGCCATTATGGCCAGGGGCACTTTTGCTAATATCCGTTTGGTGAACAAGTTCATGAGCAAATCTGGTCCCACAACTTTGTATTTACCAAACAATGAAGAGGTAATTAGATAAAAATCGATGACATGTGACGAAATGCTTTTAACAATTTGACTTTATGTATAGATGGATATTTTTGATTGTGCCCAAAGATATGCAATCAGCAATGTTCCTTTAATCATTATTGCTGGTAAAGATTACGGAACAGGATCGAGCAGGGATTGGGCTGCTAAAGGTCCATTTTTGCTTGTAAGTGTTCAAGAAAATAGGATAAACTTTTACTGTGTATTTTTTAAATTTGTTTTAGGGTGTCCGAGCTGTTATAGCGGAATCTTTTGAAAGGATACATCGTTCAAATCTGGTTGGAATGGGATTGATTCCTTTGCAATTTCTTCCAGGTGAAAACGCCGACACTTTAGGTCTCACAGGCAAAGAGGTTTACAATATTGAACTTCCCGAAAATTTGAAACCCCTGGACCGCATTACAGTCTCAACAGACACTGGGAAAAAATTCAAAGTTTTACTTAGATTCGAAACTGAGGTTGATTTATTATTTTACCGGCACGGAGGCATCCTTAATTACATGGTTAGAAAAATGTTAAGTTAAAAGAAAATGTTTGTATAGTGGATAGGAAAACCGGCACAGGGATGAGTTTATTTTTTAAACATCTTTTTTGAAGTCCTTTGCTCTGTTTTAAATATATATAAGGTATAAAGTACAATTTATCCTACTGGTTATTGACATTCTCTTTGGAGTCACTACTTTTTTTAATATTTACTTTGTCTGCCTACATATCTGTAGAATTTTTGTTTTAAAAATTGAAGTATATACTTTGTTTCAAATATTATACCACGTAAAGGTTAATAAAAAATGCTTATTAATTTTAGTGCCTGTAAGGATATGATTGCAAGAATCTGTTAAATATTTTAAGAAAATAATTTCTCCAAATTAAAAATCCAATCAGAGTTGACATTTTCTCAATAAGGTGCCATTTATGGTGTTTCAATTTTCTTTCTTTAATTAAATAGAATTTCAAAATTCCTTAATTCTAGTAATTTTGTCACACAGTAATAATTTCTTGCTTTTCTTTTGGCGCAAAAACTTTTGCACATGGAAGCATATTTTTGGTTTGCTTCCAACTTTTAAGTATCTTATTTTATCAATTTTTATTAGGCGATTATACCAAAGTTCTATTATATTTCACATATTTGATATGAAATATTTGTAAAATAAAAATTTTAACAAAAATATATTAGTTGAAATGCTTGCGCAATTAAGGACATGATTTTTATTATTCATGATTTAAATCAATATGGTATCAACAGGCGAGTTTAATACATTGAAATAGTAGATTATTATTCTTAATGGGTTTATGGCGGGAAGGGGGAAGGCTTTTTTACTTATTAGAAAGTAAGGTAAAAATGTTATGATTTACTGTATTTTATGAATTGTTAGCAATAAATCTGCAATATTATTTGAATCATTTTATTTTCGAAAATCTCTCAACAGGTCTCCGAACCTGATTAATAGTACAGGAAATAGGACAAAAATACTATCCACATTAATAAATCACAGTTAATTATCACAAATTAATAGTTTCCACTGTAATACGAAAGAGTTTTCACATAGAGTGGGTGAAAATTCCTCTTGGCGAACCATATTAGGTCAGATCGTCACCTCAATTAAGAAACAGTGAACAAACAAACAAAAATAAAAAACAAATAGTACACAAGTTTTCCTGGAATCCACAAGAGGAATTTGCTATAAGACTAACCAATACTAGAAAATGTCTTCTTAAATTAGCATAAAACCCGGTTGTGTAAATATATTGAAAAATATACATAGTCTAATATATGGCTCTTTATAAATTTGTAACACTAATATGTCTATCTAATGTAGTCAAGGCCCCGTGTTTTTTTTTATTCCTTTATGTTAATGTAGGCATACTTAATTGAGAGCTGATCGAAGATTACCTTCCCAGGCATCTTTTTCATTTTGTTTTAGCATTCTCCTTGTTTCTTTTGCTTTTCTTAGGCTTTCTTTCTCTTTTGCTGTTTGTTCCTTACTAATTCTACTTTTTGCTCCTAGATGAGATGTAATCAGTCTTCTAGCAGTGTTCAAATTAGTCTCAGGTCGTTTCATAGCTGGTTTTATATCAGATTGATTAGCTTTTTCTATAGCTGATTTACTAGCTTCAGACATTGATCTCACCTTAATCAGGGGGTGGGATAAACTCAGTGCCTTTTGAGCTTGACTGGAAGATCCCAAAATTAATAAAGCCTGAGTGTCATTGATCCACTTAACATACATTGAATCATTATGGACTTCATGAAATGCAGAGATTATATCATGAGTGGCAAATGAAGAAGGAAAACCATAAAGTTCAACTACATGTTCCAATTCTTCATTACTTTTAGATAATCTGTTGGAGAAATCATCCTCGAACTTTTCAGTTTTTGTAGACGATGTCTGTTTGTGATTATCTTTTGGGAACAGATTTACCTGCAAATGTTCATTGTCAAACAAGTCTTCCCAATGACTTACATTACTGTTCTCAATCATTAAGACGTCATTTTCATTATCAATATATTTAATAATATGCCTGGTTTTTCTATTAATATTTTGTTTTGTTTTTTTCATAATTTGGGCTTCTTGGTCCTGTTCTATTTTGGCATATTTTTTTATTTCTGTTATAGCTCCACTGCTTATCTCACTTTCTGCCGAGCTTTCTAATATATCAAGGGCATTGTCATCTATAGCATTTTCTTGATGTGTGCTTTTAGAAATTTTCATATTGTTGATTGCCTCAGGTTTCGAGTTAGATTTTATTTGATTTTCCAAAATTATTTTTAAAACATTCCAGCCGTGATTATCAATATCATCCAAATGCTTCCAAACATTTACACCACAAATATGTTTATCTAAACGTAGAGCCAAATATTGTTCAACATAAAAATCAGGATAAAAATCTGACCCTTGTGAAATTTCTGCTTTTGTGCACATACACAAATTATCTTCTAGCAACTTACACTTAGATGTTCTATATTCATATAAATTAAATATTGTGAATGAACTGCTGGACGCAAACATACAAGTTTCAATGTCAGCATTATTAAATATAAATATGCTTTGTCTTAATATTTGATACATGTTAATATTATTATTAACAGATGTCTCCATTATCTGGGGAGTATTATACCATTTGAAAATTTGATAATCTTTCAAACTTAACATATACAGGGTATATTTAAAACGTTTCTTGCAAAATATTTGTACTGTATCAAACGGAAAGAAATACTTAAAGGTTTGATATTTAACTGTCTTACACTCAGGGTAAAATAATGGTAAGCTCCTATCAGTTACCGCATAATTCCAATCAAGAAAAATACCGTTTACTAGAAGCTGGAGCATGTCATCTACCTCGAACATTTGGCTTTGCACAGATAACTTAGTATCTTTTAAAACATTGGAGGGTCCTATTTTCATATCGGATCTCAATTTTTCGGCTGAAGTGGAATCAGACTTCGATCCAGCGTGTTTTCTCTGAGCTGGAGGCACATAAAGTTGGATGGGAGGTCTTCTTTTTCGAATACCTTGCTTTTCCAAATTAGACATGTTGTCTTCGGGCTGCTAAACTCCAATCCTATCCAAATCCAAATAATTTAGTAGCAATGCAAAAATATAAATCAGTACAGCGTTTTAACTACTTGCACCGACCACAGTCACGACAAGATAAACGAAAGTAAAATCTCGTTTTACATAACAGCAATTCAACTACGTAACTTTCACCTTCACTTAAATTCTGATTCCAGCGGCATTCCTTTTACGATGTTGAACGATTATATAATGCCCCACATTTGTCAGTCGATTTACCTTTTCCTATTCTTCTTGGTTAAGAGCGTCGATGCAACTTACCAATTTATTTACAGTGGACATCACAGAATACTGTTCATGCATAACATATTTTTGTAAAAGGGTGCTATTCATTAAGGCACGAACGGAAATGATATTTGGGCTTGTTAACTAGTGCAAATAATTACTCAACAGAATGGCTGTGTTTTTTCTCAACGGAATGTCATCGGCGTTCAACTATTTCTGAAGTAGGACCCCAGATTTGTAAAAATGTTTTTTAACACATATCTCATCTAAAACAGTCATATTTCAACATAACTACAAAAAAAACGATGGGTAAAGTCCTGCTAACTCCAACTAATATAACAATTTTTGAAGCGATTACATAGAAAAATATTGAGATAGACTATATAATATGCGCATGCGTGGTATTTTAAATCATGTTTTCAGCCAATAAAATCTAGCAGCTTTGAACAACCAATATGGCCGTTGACGGTTCATTTCACAGGTTGCAGTATAGATGCAGCATTTCTTCGGCAGTTTCATGAGAAAGTGAATTAAGTGCGCGGTGATCGTTGTTTAGAAAGAAAATAACGCGAAGTGCAGATTAGTGGATGAAATTTAGAGGTATGCGCGGAAGACCATTACCATCTCTACCAAAAAAATTATTTTAATCACTCCACCAGGGCCACTACATTATCTGATACCACCTATATGGTTCTTTTTTTTTATTAAAGGATAATGTAGTTTAGTGTGTTTAGGGCTTTAATGCAATAAATCTAAAAAAATATGGTCTCTATGAGCCCTACAGTAAATAAAGAATTTAGCGACAAAAATTTAAACCAAAAATAACTAATACAAATTTTGAAATCTAAATTAAAATTACATATTGTTTAGAATGGTGGGCTAGTGTGCCCTGGAGGTCATTAGTCTTTGAGGTAGACCAGAATCTGGCAAGAAAATAAAATTACTGAGAAAAAATACTTTTTAATAAACATTTACCTACACAACGTGAGCAAAAACCAATTTAAAAAAATATATAGACTTAACCAAAATTAACAAAAAAGGGGCAAAATTTAAGGCTTTATGCAATGTATGTGGACGCGGACACATTCCCGCCATGGCCAGTCCAGTTTGTATGAACAAACTTTCCTTCTTGTCCGAGCAATTCATAAGTGTGAGCTCCAAAATAATCTCGCTGTGCTTGCAATAAATTAGCGGGAAGACGTTCTGATCTATACCCATCGTAGAACGCAAGGGCTGTTGCTAGAGCTGGTGTCGGTATTCCTAACATGGAAGGTACTTTATAAAAAAACAGAGTTAAAAGAGTGTTTCTTCTTACCCAAAGTGACACCTGTAGCTACAACATTTCTCCATCCGGTTTGGGCTTTTGTAAGGGCGTCCAAGAAAAATGGTGCAATAAGTAAAGATTTCAAATTGGGGTCTTTGTCAAATGCTTTTTTTATTTGTCCAAGAAACACTGAGCGAATAATGCAACCACCACGCCACATCAGTGCAATAGCACCATAATCTAGTTCCCAATTGTGTACTTTGGCTGCCTCTCTAAGTAACATAAATCCTAAAAAACATCTGAATAAATTTTATTTCTTCCATTTTGCATATCTACCTTGAGCATAAGACACAATTTTGCTTGCATATAGGGCTTGCCTAATCTCTTCCAGAAATTTTTTTTTATCACCACTAAATTTAGCGTTTGGTCCAGGAAGCACCTTGCTTGCATTTTGCCTCTCGTCTTTAAGTGCAGACAAGCAACGGCTAAATACGGCTTCTCCAATAAGTGTAACGGGAATTCCATAATTCAGAGCAGCAATGGCAGTCCATTTGCCAGTTCCTTTCTGTCCAGCTGTATCTCTGATCTTGGGCAATAAATACTGACCTAAAATCCATCATACAATTATTTGTGACATAATGAAAATTATATATTACCGTCGGTGTCCTTATATTTTAAAATATCTTTGGTAATGTCAATAAGAAAACTATCCAGTTCTCCCTTATTCCATTCAGCAAAGGTATTGGCCATTTCTTCTTGGCTTATTCCCAATGCCAACATCAAGTGGTAGACCTCTCCAATAAGTTGCATATCGCCATATTCAATGCCATTATGAACCTAAAAAATTAAAGGAATATCCAGATTTCCTAGAGAACACATATTCATATATATCACTTACCATTTTCACAAAATGACCAGCTCCATCATTACCCACCCAATCACAGCACGGCTGTCCGTCCGCTTTGGCTGCTATGCTTTGAAAAATATCTTTGATATAGGGCCATGCTTCCTTATTACCACCTGGCATAAGACTTGGACCATATCTGGCACCTTCTTCTCCTCCTAAATACAAAATATTACACATCCACAATGAATTCAACAAACTCCACTCACCAGAAACACCTGAACCAACAAATCTAATACCCTTCACCGCCAAATCTTTACTCCTTCGTTCTGTATCCTGATATTCAGAATTGCCTCCATCAATTATGATATCCCCTTTTTCCAAATGGGGTAATAACTGATCGATAAAACTATCTACGGCTGGGCCAGCCTTGACGAGCAATATTATTCGGCGCGGTGCTTTCAATTTTGACGCTAAATCTGCGATTGACTCTGCACCAATAATACGTTTACCTTTGGCTTCGTTGGCCAAAAAACTATGGACTTTTTCTACCGTTCGATTAAATGCAACTACTGTGAAACCATGATCAGCGATATTCAGAATGAGATTTTGTCCCATTACCGCCAAGCCAATTAGTCCTATGTCTCCTTTTCTACAAAGTTTAAAGATATTTTTACTAAATAAACGAAACATAATGTCAAAAATTGTGTAGCAACCTCCTCAAAAAAATATACCGAACGATTTAATTACAAACATCACTTACAATAAATTTAGGATATGAAGCATGCAAGAAATGCCATGCAGCGATGATTAAGCACATTTGTATTATTACATTTAGAACCATCTTTAAAAAATATTAGACATTTAACAATAAATTAATAACTTACACGTTTCCGGCCATTTTGACAACCTGTTGCACGTTATTCAAGGTTAAAAAATACCAATTTTCAAGCTCTTCCGTAACAGCGGCAATTACAAAATGAAACTATAAACCGTGCATTACGCAAAATTAGGCAATCATTCCCCTCTAAAGTGATTTTATCGATACTGGAAAGTCACTTTGGAACAATGAAGGTCATCAGTTTCGAGCGTTGGGATGATAATCATGATATGCGCAACTAAAAATTTACTCAAAAATTTGGTGAATTTTTTATTTGTATTATTTGAGGTTAATTTTGCTAGCGCTGTATATCAAAAATCAAAATGATTTTAAGTTACCCGGACGAGATATATATCACGGCAACCGAAATTCAGACGAATGCGCCATGACAAGGAAGAATACATTTTTTTTTAAATTAATTAATTTTTAGAATTTAAATCGTTCAAAAGGCAGGGCTTAGTGGTGAATGACATATATGACCAATTCAAATCCGTCAATGCACATTGCTGTCACGAGGGTCACATAACACATGATTATTTCCACATCTGTGACAGAAGCTTCATAAGCTTAGATGACAGTACTGTCCTGTCGGCTTATAATAAGAACTACTGCTGATATAATAAAAATGCTCTACTTGAAATATTAAAATTTATTGCTAAATAACATTTCGTGATTTATAATTATTTTCCGAATTATTCCACCATTGTACTTCAGCAGATCCAAATGTTGTAAAAAATATAGCCGTCGATAAGGTAACAAGGGAGAAAATCAAAAAAACATACCGCCATAGAGTAGGATCTGTCTGCAAAACATAAAAGATTCAAATAAATATATCTGTAGGAGAGCAGTATAAACTTGCGGACACCTTGTTGTCTCTTCGTACTTACCAAATCGGTTACAAAGTATTGAACAAAAAGGGGAGCAGATAAACTGACAACGGTAGAGATAGAGTTTTCAATACTCAACAAAACGCCTGCATATTTAGGAGATATGTCGATATGGTTTATTAAAGAGCCATACTGCTCAACGGCAAGAAATCCAAGTGATATGTTCATAAGGCATACTGCTAAAGTCTTTTGATTTTCTGCCACAAACGCCAGCCATATTAAAAGCCCAGATGGAATGACAGAACCTGAAACAATTGCAATTACGTTTTCAGGTGCAACATTAGGATTATTTTCAATGGAAAACTTGCACACCTCTTGAAAATAATGTTTTGAATGTAATACTTTATAGTTTTTGGTATTTATAAACGATCTACCACAAGTTTTTGGCACTTCAGTTCAACCTATAAAGTCCAGGTGCAAAGATGATGCTATTCATCAGAAAGTAATTTCTGATATATGAAAACAATACTTATATTGTTTCTTTAAAATATATTGTATATTATAAGTATATATTAATGTCATGCGATATGCCAGATCACATCCCTGCTTGTACAAAACAAAAAAAATATTTCCAAGTATACAAAATATAGGAAGGTGATATTTGAGTCATGCAAAAATTTTCTTTTTTACTTAGTTGATCATAGCATTAAACATTGTATATATTTGTAAAGATACGCATTAGCTGATGTTCAAAAAATAACCCATTGGCACCTAAACTATATGCAAATTAAAAACTTGAATTATGGGGACCTAATTTTACTTACTTAATAACATTTTTTTTGAAAAAAAATAACGGTTACCAGGTTTGTAGCAACATAGCATTTACTTGGGGCCCGTATTAATGGAAGTGCTATGAACAAATGATTAAGTTTTTTCTTACAATCAAAAAGCAAAATAATTTCATAAATTATCCAAATAATAATAATCGTAATTAAAAACATAAACTTTACAAATGAATAACATGGTAAGGGTGTTCGGTTAAGAACCCTAGGTCGATAAGAACTTTTTATACCATTTTTGCTTCTGCCTTTGAACCTTTTAAGCTAAGTACCTACTTTTCAAAACGTCCTGTATACTTTGTAATTCACTTACCCAAAATCTGAGCCAATTTTCGTGATTGTGTTAAGGTTACAAATTTTTTTTCTACAATATAATCGCTGATGGGTCCAAGGATTACAACGACAAATAACTGAATAATTTGAGGAAGTGCCGACACTATTCCGTTCTGCAAAAATCATTTTATAAAAAAAATAAAAAGACAAACACAAAATCATTTTTTTTGCTCAATTAAATGATTTGGAACAACAAATATGGAATGCCTACTGTTTGATTTACATATTTTGGCTTTTGTTTGAGTGTATTGTTTGTAGTCACTGCAAATTAACAAGGATAATTGGGTTAGATTAAGCATTTTGAGAGGATGGATTGTTGGAATTGTAAACGTTGTCTCACGTAGAATATGACTTTTAGGATATAGTAGTGCGAATTATTACGATTTTTTTTGTTAAAATAAGGCAATAATAAGTTTGTAGGTTTCTTTACAATACAGTCGATCAGCACCTACCGCACTATCGAAAAAATGTTTTTGGCAGCTGTCATTCTGGTGAAGCTAATATATGAAAATTGGGTCATTCAATCATTTTAAGTAATCGAATTGAATGATCTTGAAATGATCTGAAAATGTATATGCTATAAACATAATTACATAGAACAATATGTGATACGTGTAAAGTCACCTTAATAACGGTGCACTTACGTCTGTGAACGTACTCTGACTTGACATCCGGATACTTTGGTGTAGGAACGGGAAGGCTTTTGTAATAAAATGATTGCAATAAAAATCAACAGTTTTACATTTTAAATCCTTGTTCTATTATCGACTTTACACGTATAACATATACCCACCTGATATTGACCAATTACAGCCCACAACAACCCCAAATTTCGTTCCCAATTGACACATCCACAAACATTTCATTTTTTGAAGATATAAACTTTTTATGACCTATGAGGCTGCGTCTTTTTTGTCGTTGCTCAAGTTAAATAAATAAAGTAAAATAGTTCACAGATATTTGCCCTCTTAGAAATGTGTAACCGACAGGAATGAGTTTTATATGAGTAGTACTTTACATACCAATTTTATATCGAATTTTAACACTTTGTTTAAGTAGGTGGGTACGTCAGCTTGAACAAGTGTATCGCCCCATGAGTTACCTGCGTTAGCTACCACCAATGCCCAAAAAGGGAGGGAAGTAAATATAGCTTTTAATGGAATGTGAACAATTTTCTGAAAAAAAAAAAGAATTTAAATGTGTCCCGAGTAGCTTCGGACTTTCTACTTTTGGTTCATTTTCTTGTTCAGAGAGGGAGTGCTCTATGTATCGTCTCTCTACAGGTGATATAGTCGGATGTTCTGACGGACTATCGTAACTAAAAATGGCCCATATTACGCACCAAAGTACGCTGCAGGCACCAAATACGTAAAAACTAAAAGGCCAGCCCACCCAACTAGACGCTATGTATCCGGACACTACCATAGCGATTAAATTTCCAGTATTTGTTCCTAAAATCCATTCATGTTCCAAAATGTTATTGACTACGAACGATGATCAAATTAGAATAAATGGAATGGCATAATTTACCAGAATAAGCTACCATGCTTAACAATGATCTTTCACTGACCGGCGCCCATCTTCCCAAAGCACTTTGACAGCAAGGCAAGCAAAACCCTTGAAAGAATCCTTGGGCGAGTGTACAAATAATGACTCCCGTGGAACCCAACCACCAAGCGGCTTGGGGAATCAGCATAAAAATTATGCTGTTTAAAAGCATTGCCGTGAACAAGGTCCACTTGACGCCAAACTTTTTAAAAAAATAACCGGAAAAAAGCTGCAAGACCATATAAGTCCACCCGAAAGACGAGAGGATTATGTTTGTATTGTCCCAGTCGTATACCTAAAATGGTACTTATGGTATAGTTGGATACCGGAGTTTTGGAATCTCATTAATTAGGAAACAACTTACAGATACATCGGGATTCCTAGTTGCGTTTCTATCTGTCATCGCAACAATTGCGAGAGACAGATTCGATCTCGTTGTATGGGTGTTAACCAAAAGGAAAAATAAAAGAATTGCTTGCACGTGCCTTGATCCAAATTTTGGCACGATGTTTACCTCCATTTTTGTAACCGAGATTTGCAGACCTCTCGTAAAATGAGGCAAATATTTAAATTATAATATTAAAGTGCACACATTGTTTTTAGAACAGTTTTAATTTATAAAATATGTCTTATATTACAGATAAGATAATAATACCCCTTCAAAAATTATTTTAAGTAGCGCAGATCATTATAAAACGCCTAGCATAATTTTGTTCCTCTTAAAACAAAAAACTACAATCAAAATATATTTTTTAAATTTTTTGATACAAAACAACAAGAATTTAACAAACAATTCCAATATATGCCAGAATTGCTTTAAAAAGACCCTTATGGTGTTTCCTAACGTTATTTGTATAAGGGAGTCAATTCTAACTCAGCAGTAATGGTAATAAGTTACTGCGCAAATTCCAGCATTTGTTTCTAATCAAATCCCTTATTCAACAGACTAAACCCCTTCAAACATTATTTTAAGTACTTATTATAAAAAAATGTTTTTCTCTAAACAAAAAAATTGAAATCAAAATATATTTTTCAAATTTTCCTGAAAGAGAATGAAAAAAAAAAATTAACAAACAGTCTGAATATATCTAAGATCTAAAGAATAGATACACCTATTGTGTTTCCTAACCTTGTTTGTAAAAGTGAGAGGGTCAATTCTAACCTAGGAGCTATAGTAGTTAGTTACTGCACAAATACCATTAAAAATAAAAACAAATTAAAGAACTAATTCAAGGGATTAATAAAATTTTATTTATACACTTCTAAACGATTTTATTTTTGAAAGTTTTGACCAGTTAGCAGTTTTGGTTAGTTTTTTCCTAAACGAATGCCATAAGACTCCCAAGTCTGTTTGATCAACTTATATTATTTTTACTTACTTAGCCTAATAAAACCAGCACAAGCGCGCAGGGTTGCTTTTGGTTTGGTTTTAAATAAATAAATTGAAAAATTAAAGTTTAGTTCAGGGGTTTAAAAATATACAAGAAATAAAAAAATTGCTAATTATGAAAATAGATTTTATTAAAAATATATTTTACATAGTAAATCGAAAACATCATAGACTACATAAGAAATAATTTTTTTCAAAGATTTAATCGGGAAATAAAACATATTTTCAACATTGAACAGTTATAATCTTCCAGTAACGATAAATGTTGTTATTAATGCATAAGAGATCTACTTCTATAATTTATTTTATGAGAAAAGTTCATCTCGAAGCAGTCAACTGCTGCAATAAAACTTAACACATTGTTACAGTAGAGTACTCATAAATTAGAATAAATATAGTTCTAAGTATCAAAAAGTTTATATAAAATTTTGATTAAACACAACCAACCGGCGATAACAAGGTTTCTCTCGCTAACTACCCTCTTTTATTTTGCTGTCAACAATATTTTTACAAAACTTTATACATAGGTTATACTCAATAAACCCATCGACCACAGAGAGATTTTTAAAAAGTTGTGTACTCTGAGTGCAATATAAACTATAAACATACGTTATATGTATAATCTAATAATACCAACTTCCAGAATAGAAAAACCAAGATGTTTATTTAATATAAATCACAGATTTGTAAAACGCTAAAGTGGGTTTCAAAACTCAAAGACCAAATAAATATATTACAACATAGAAAACTTGCGCATTTCAAAAAAGTACCATTCATCCCTTGAAAATAAGAGACTGAGGCTAATCTCTCGTTTTAGGTATCAGAGGTTTTACGTGAGACTCAACCCTAACCTTAGAAAGCACCTCGACAATGGAATGTGTCCTCCCTAATTAAAAACTACAGTGACATTCCAATATCGTTAAAACTAAAAATATTTCAAGTTGCTTCTTCGCAAAATAAAAATAATAAATAAGAAATACTGCAACGCACATCCCGCCTTTCATCAATAAAAATTAAGGCTCTTAATTTTAATTTTTCGATGGTCATAAACTAACCTCTGGGACCTAAAAATGATTTTCTTTCGCAGGTCGTGCTTCCCTATTGATTTCGATTTTCCAACATTTCGGTTAAGAATATGTCGAGGGTCATACCGTGCCCCAACTGACTGAAAAACAAATGGTTAACGCACTTAAGTCCGATGGATCGCAGAACCGGTAAACGGAGTAACAATTTTGCAAAGCGTCCAGTTTCCGATGGATATGTCGTTCGGATATACTCCTCCATCACTTCGTACACCTTCTCGCGCAATATGTTTACGTCATCTTTGCACATAAGGCCTCGCAATTCTGTTAAAAAATAACCCAAATGTTACAAGATTTACATAAAACTTTATATTTATTTATTTATTTTTTATTAATTTTGTTGAATAGTTAAATCAGACCTACCTGGATTGAACAGAATAATGGCCCGCAGACATGCCAGCTCCGTTTTATCCACCCGAATTTCTCGAAATTTGTTGGTGAAATCCAAAAGCCATTCAAAAACGTTTAACAACCCGAGAGAATGAGCAGTTCCCCTTAAAAAATAATAAGGTTTGAAAATAAATGGATATTGTTAAGCAAATAATGGGTTTTTGGATTTGAATTTAGAAGAAAAAGACTCGCACGTCAAAAAAGGGAAACAAATAACAGTGTAAATTGACAATCCACAATTAAAGCTAATTAAGTTTAATTAATTGTATATATTATTAGGCCTTATTGTGACTATCCTTTATTTTTTGCTGGATTTAACCCTTTGTTAGCTTTACGTGTTTATTAATTGTCGCTTGTTTTCCTTTTTTTGAACATATGGAACTAATAAAGATCAGAAAACAATAGTAATGGATAATTTTGATAAATTTATATTGTTATACATACATTTATTTTCTTTTTTTATTTTTGTGTTAACACTTCTATTTTATGTAAGCATACACTATTTTAAGTATATATGACCTCTTTTAAAGTCCTAACGAAATAGTGGAGCGCCGTAAGGCATAAAAATGGTAAAATCTCGGAACCCAGGGCCAGTCAATGAATCTGTATAATAAGTGTTTGACTGCATTATTAAAACCTCAAATAAAAATGCTAAAAAAAATTTGGCCGATCTCGATGACAACAATTTTTATAAACAATTTACTGAAAAATGAAAGGCGCAAGGGGGAAAAAATGTTTACAGTAAAGATCTTAATTTTATATGTAATAAATTATGTTTGCAGAGTAAATTCAATGTTAATTTATTAGATTTTCGCAAAAAAATGATTTACAAAAGAAAATTTAACCTTAACTATATCGATTATTGTACATTATTGTCGTCACCGTCGATTTCGTTGATGTAGATTGTAGGTAAAAGATTAGTACAGCTATCACCATTGCATTCTAAGCAAGCTGCAGTGCAGTTTAATCCACTTTTCCTGCACCCACAAGATGCTCCACATCCATGCATGCATGTAACACCCGCTTTAAAAATTTCATCGATGTCTTTGCATTCATTTTTAAAAACTGTCGCAGCATTTTGCAAGTCCGTTCGTTTTACGAAATTTTTTGCAAACACGTTTTTGCCACGTTGAAAAAAAAACTGACGTCGTGTCACATCCAGTGACACTTTGGTAATATTTTTTCTAAACTCTTAGAAGAGTACGTTCTTTGCAGTATTTTGCCTTTGGATGGTTTTCGAAAATAAAGTTCTCGGTCTGGTGGTGACAGCGCAGTCAATAAAACTAAAAGAAAGTCCATCCCCTCTTTCCGCAAAAGCAGCTTTCAGTGTTGGTATTCCTCTAGTGACTTTTATAATATCTCTTAGCTCAGAGCTACATTCAATTTTGTGACAAATGAGGCAATCATTATTTATATTATCACTACTCGATGGTTCACCCATTTTGATACGAGGCTGTAACAACAAATATTACTAATATCAATAACTAACCTTTATATCACAATTAATTAAAATTTCAGATGTAAGGATTGGAAATTTCTTTTTTTTTTTTAAACAAAAATGTGAAAAAATCGGAATTTTCACTATTTTTCCGATTAACTAAATTATTATTTCTGCATAAATAAAATACATAAAAATAAATCAACTGTTTTTGTAAGCACTATCTTATAGGAAATTTCATGCAGATTCCAAATATATATTAAATTTTACCATTACATTCTAAATTTTAAGATCGATCTATTATAAAATATACTATTGAATATTCACAGTTGTTTTCAAAACCATGTAATATAAATAATAAACAAATACTTACTATTTATGCCACTATTTTCAAAGTTTGTAAAACTCAGTAATTAACTCTTATCACACTCACTGCATAATAACATTTATTTTTTATTTATTTTAATTTTTTTTTTCGGAGCAAACAACAACTACGTATCAAGCCTAGCAAGCTGCCACGTGTACTATTCTGTTAGGGACCGCGTTAATAACACCCAACAGCTGCTGTTGCCCCCTCTACTCCCCTCCCCACCCTTCATCGTTATACCTGCAGTCCCTTGAGACCCAAGATGAAGTTTGTAATAGTTCTTCTTTTTAAAATCTAATTTTACACTAATATAACTTAAGGAAAACTCCAAAAAAATAATAATTATTAAGAAATTAAGATCGCACAAAATATTTTTTTTTAACATTTTTCTATATGCTATTAAAAACACATTGCCAAAGTTTATAAAAAGATTTATTGACTGGCCCTGGATTCCGAGGTATAAACCTTACGGCGCTCCACTAAAAGCAATAAATTTGCCGAAAGATCGACTAAATAAGACATTTATTTTTTATATAACCCATCTTTTCTTTTTTTTTGTAAGAGAGGCTCGTGAAATTATTGTTTATCTTGGATAATATTAGGCATACATAACACGTTGTTAAAAACTATTTAAACCATTTAAAGAAAACAAAACAAAAATGCATTAAAAACGCCAACAATATTTAAAAAAATTCTACTACATTCAATTTTATCCATATTTTTGAAAGGGGGGATACATTTACGTGACCTATTTAGAAAAATGCCATTACATGGCAGAAAGTGGCAATGTTTGAATAAATCAAGAAAAAAATGAATTTTCTCTCATTTCGATTTTTTTGTGTTAAATGGGATTTTTATTGGGTCTAAAAATGCACAGTCTCTCTTATCGGTTTCAAGATACTCAGGCTATTTATTCTTACACCAGGAAGGCTACAAAGATTAAGTTATTTTTAAACACATTAATTGAGAATACGCAAATAGAAAAATTAATTATTGCTTTCTTCTAAATAAGCATTCATACGAGAATTAAATGTTTAATAGATTTTAACATCTGTGTCTTTTGTTAACGTTCGGAACATACGTGAGTAATGAATTATAATTTCCTTTTTAGAGTATTTGTTTAATTACGCAATTACCAAAATAAAAGCCAAAAAAAACGAGAGAGAAAACTTACTTATTTAAAGTTACCCCGTTGCACAACAACACGCCGTCTTGTCCCAACGAACGGAACGCCATCGATATCACTTGCAACTCGTTCCAGCTTGATTTCAATAAAAGGATCTGGTCGGCTATTGTTAATGACGTGAAGTGAGGGACAATTTTTACCCACTCGAGGAGCTGTAAGAGGCGAGTGTTGGACACCTGCTGAATTAAACTGTCAATATTCTGAAAATAACAATCACACTAACAGCGCAGGGGATAAAAACTAATAAAAATAAGTAGCGCATTTTTTTTTTAATTCCTTTTTTAATTTTTTTTAACCTATTTTACATTTGTATATTCTAGTCAGACAGGGTCACTTCACAGCGGCACCTTATTTTTCTACTAGTTAAAAACATTGGTCTAGCATTTTTCTTTGAGTAAACTGGATATCGATTTTCATACCGAATGCCAGTTATATCAAACTGCAATCAATCAAAGGGTTTTGATCGATAGGCTGTTAATTAAAAAAAGGAAGGAGTGTTGCAGGGTTGTACTTGCAAGAAACAAAAGCCTGCGTTTCTGATATCGAGAATAAACTTTTTAATCTCCGCCTAAAAAACATTATGGCTGCGTGGGATGTAAATTCCAGCTTAAAAAAAAAGATAACGTGGTTGAGAAACACAATAAACAAAGATCGATGAATGTATAAATTTTGCGCCATGCACTAATTTATTTGTTTGGAAACGTCAATGCACCGCCGACCTTGCGTTTTTATTTGCGTTATTTAGGATGCGGCGCATGGCGGAGGGGGACAGGGGGACGCGGTTTTCCGACGAAATGCACATTGGTACAAACAAAATTTATCTATAACGCTTTTAAAGTGCAAAAAGGATTGTTTTGTCTGGAGGTTTATTATAAACGGTCACTTTACTCATTATCGACCATGTAATAAAAATAGAGTCGGTGGAAAAATAGTAAATCTTATTTACTCGGATCTTGCGGAGCAAGTTTCCGGAGATACAGCCCCCAAAATTTTTATTTCTTATATCTTGCTATATATGAAATAATTTTATAAAATGTACTTATTTTATGTTTCTTTAAATAATATATAGATTTAATAGTATATTATGTAACAAGATTTATTTACGATTTTACATGGTTCCTTAAAAAAGACACCGACTGTTGGATCGACATTCGCTTTCTGATTCGCAATCTTCTCTTGCTTTTACTTATTTAATTACTTAAAATTACTTCACAATGAATAAATCAGAAGTTTTTTTTTTTCTTTTGCCGCGGATTTGATGCGTTTTTCAATCTGAAATATTAATTATAGTGTTACTTTTTTTTAATTGTTTTCTCATGTATTGTTATTGTTATTAACTAAGCTTTGCATAATATACTTATATTTGGATTCTTAACAGAGCACTGTTATGACTTTAACCTGTTTGTGTCCCAAAGAGAAAGTAAATAAATAAACAAACGAGAATAATTGCCCATGTGCAGCAAGTTGATGATTGGTGTCATTTTTCATGCTTGCTATTCTGCGGATAAATCTAGAGACTTTTGTGTTGATAACTCACTAAATGTCACCATTGTTATGGTGTCATTAGCAATTTCGTTTTCAAAAGCAAATTCAGAAAGTACAATTTTTCTCTCTTGAGTTCACTGTAATTTATACGTTAAATAAAGTTTAAAAGTAAATTCAAGATAGGAAAATAATAAAACTAGCTGGATCCAACAATTAACAAAACAGATCGGTGGCATTTCTTTTTTTCAAATTACTAAGACTTATTTTTCGAAATAACAAACAGCGAACTGGATCAAAGGCAAAATATTCATGCAAATTCTAAAACCGAGTGTCCAGGTGCTGCTTGTTGAGAGACGACTGGAATATTCGACACCAAAAACGTAACAGTATTTGCCAAAAAAATCTAATTGTTTTATAAATTCTCACTTTCCGATTGCCGCATTATTTTACGGATTTTTTTTTTATTAATTAACATGTAGAGAAAAAATAAGGACAAACCTCCGTGGGTCCTGGCGGCTCGTTACATTCGACTCTTTTCTCCGCCTCCAACAGTCGTTCGAGCGGCATTTCCACTTGCAAATTGGACGTGGATTCCACTTCCGACGTGTCCCTGTCTTTTGTACGTTGCCTTTCTTCTTGCACAGCCTCTCGTTTCATACCCATATTCAAGCATTTTTGGTAACGACAATATTGGCATCTGTGAAAGTCGCAAAATAAAATTACGAACAGTAAACTAACATATAATGGTGCGCATTTTTTCGATTTAATTTTTTCCTTTAATTTAATAAAATGACGGAAATACTAGAAAACGGTAAACTCATAATATACAAACAATTCAAACCCGGACGTTACCTAATTTGGAATCTTTTAATATTTTTAAAACGTAGTCAGAAAAGCTGTCTCCAATTAGTGTGACATTCATTCTAAATTCAACCATAAAAATTTGCTGTCATCGGTAAAAAACAGAATTCAATCTCATCACTGCAAAAACGTAAGTGAAAAAAAGAACCTTTACACCCCAAAATCTTTTTTATTGATGCAGATCGCAATATCAATAACCAATCAACATGATTTTCTAAGTGAGTAAAGAACAAAATGTCAAGTCATCTTTGGCCAATAAATTTAATGCTCAGATTTTGAATATGGTTGAATCTTCATCATGTGGGGTACGTACCTATTCCTTTGTCGTTTGTCAATTATGCAGTTCTTCTCCTCCCGACAAGCATAAGACAAGTCTTTCCGAACTGTCCTCTTGAAAAATCCTTTGCATCCTTCGCAGCTAAAAAATTGGGACAGAATAAATGTTAATTTCAAATTTTTAAAACAGGAAAGAAAAAAATCAACGTTTCAACGTTTAAAGTGATACACCAGTTCGAACAAACAAAATTAACACGCAAATTTAGTTTGCGGTTTTATGGCCGTGAAGAAATAATTATATGTAGATATTATAAAAATGAAAATGTTTCGGAGGAACAAATGTTGTATAACCGATCATATAAGTTAATATTTTAGATATTTTGGCAAATGCAGCCTTGCTACCTAATGGCATCCATGGCAATTTAAATCGGACAGACTATTTTTTATGACAGATGCGGATCTTATAAATTATTATCAAATTAATTCTTAAAACTTTTAGCAATATATACCGTTATTCGAATAGATCTAACCGTGTAGACTTTGTCCAGGTGTTAAAGTATTTATTACCATTATCATTAAGTTCTTCCTTTTAGTTTTTCAAAACATATAACGCTGATATGACAAACCTCGGTTTGGGACATAGCTTTTTTGTTTTCCGTTTAGCTAATAAACCCAGAAACATAATTTTTCTATTTGCTATGCGATATTTTACTCTTTTAACCCATGACAATTTTATGAACGGGAATCGGTATGCCATCACCATTTTTTTACTCACGCCCACTTCTAAACACGAATGCGGTCGCTCATTCAAGGCCGACACTAACACCACACAGCACGTGCAGCGATGTTGCATGAACAATTCGCGAACTTCATGCCATGTACTATCATTGAATTTAATTCATTATATAATGTCCTATATAGGATATAACCTACGTAGGATAGGACGATTTTTCTCTATCTTTTTTTTGTTTTTTATTTAATTTTTGAAAATTATGTCTAGGAGGCTGCGACCACCATAAATACTGTTTTTCTACTCCCGTCTGTAAAATACTTAATTACCTACCGATCTAGTGTGCGGGAAGCGTCACTTTACCACGTCAGTTTCGTTTCCCATGAATCCGAACCACTTCGGACATTACCGGGATTTTACCGCACGGATTTGGGAGCAATCGGATCTTTTCGGAGATATTTCCCAGGCTTTGAATTTTGACATTTGTCAATTCTGACGGTCATGTCAGTGAATGTATTCGTGTTATTTTGCGAAAATGTACCCAAAAACTAAAGGTCTTAGAAAAAGTGTAGTATGCGACACGTTCGGTAAACTTTTTAACTCACTCGTTTATTAAAAACTCGCTCCGCTCGTGTCAAATAAACTCGTGAGTCAAATGCCGTTTACCGCACTTGTTGCATAATATAATATACTATTACCGGGCCACCTGATCATGGGAAATGAAACTTTTCTTAACTTGTCTAATGGCACATAGCATTTAGTGTAATGAACTATTAATTTTTTAGGATAAAGTAAACACACCTTGCCTACGTTTTTGAAATATCCACGGATTTTAACTAGGGAAGTAATACCTGGGAAAGACTTTTTCCCGACCAAATATTTTAGAACTTCGCTCGTAAATACGAAGCCTGCGTTTCACGGCTACATTTCCCGGCCATTTTTCCTAAAACGATCGATAAAAATAGCAACAATTCGCTCCGCACGGACCGACGGAAAATTGCTGCAGGTTCGAGAACTTGGATTACACGGGAGGTGGTCCTGCTGCCACCCACAGCGAACCCCGTCCATAAATTCGGACGATATTCGATATGCTTCGCATTCCTATTTATACACGACATATTGAGGTATTTAACAAAGCCGTAGGCCGTACAAGACGCTCTACTGCTTTTTAATTCGACAATCGACAACGCCGGAAGTTCTTGTTTTTGTTATAATGGGCCAAACTTTTTTTTAATGCGACATCATGACATTTTGTGACTTAGTTTTAATATTTCTGTATAAACTGGAAAAGAGATGATGTGGGGACTCACACAGGAGTTGCCAAATTTTGACTGCCTCTCGCCTTCAACATTTTTTTGCCAATTTTGGAATTTCAGTCAGTGTGCAAATCAGTAGTGTCATAATGGGGCATAATAATGGCATAATGGGGGGATTACTTTGAAGGGGACATTATTAATTTGGATAAATAAATAAATACTTTTTGATTAAACTTAAAAGTCACCTTACTTTTTGAAAACACGTCGTAGAGGAAGATGAAAACGTCACTAATAACTTTATAGGTAAAAAAACACAACATGTAAAAAAATCAGAGAAACATTTTTATTGAATGCCTCTGAATATCAAACTCAAACTCACCAAAACCATATTTACAATTAAAAGCTTAATTAAACTGTTAAGAATTTTAAAAAATCGTTTTTTTTTTCAAATGTTACACATCCCTTCTCAGTTTGAACAGTATCTGTTATTATTTAGTTGTAATTAAAAGAAAATGGCAAAGAAATCCCTATATTTCGCACTCTGTATAACTGACCGAAAATCCAACAAGTTATGTTGAAGTTGGGTGTGCTACTTCATGTGGCCTTTGGTTTTTTATCACTATGTCCCAATCCTAGAGGTTTACGCCCAGAGAATATAACCGCAATATTAACATTTTCTTGTTTTCAAACAACCCTTTAAGGTATGATAAACAATAACTTTGGTCTGGTAGGTTATATCAAATAATGTTAAGCCGAGTTGACCTACGTTACTCCATAAACTAGTGCTTTGTTGGTTCTGTGATTGTGTTTCGCCGATAATAATTATCAAAATCTCTATAACTTGCATATAATGTTCATTTTAATATCTATCAAATCATCTACTATTACCTGTATACCCCATAATGTTTTCCGCTTGCCCTATCTCCGCAAATGGAACACAGATGTTTCGACCCGCTCAAGGGATGATTTGGAGGATAAGGGCTGCCCTGGCTTTTCGGTCCTCCTCCGCTCCCCGGAGAGGGACTCAGCAAGCCCGTGTGACCCAACGTGAAGGAGTTGGGACTGTTCGGCCCTTGAGGGCTGAACTGGTCTAAAGCTGCGGTGTCTGGCTTCATTTCCAAAGGGGACTGGGGGCCCAAGGCGCCCAAACTGATGTTTTGTTCGAGACTGAGACCTAAAATAAAAATAATTTAATACATTACCGTACTCAATCCATTTTTATGGCCACAAGTACCTCAAAAACAAAAAACGTTAAAATAGTTTTTTTTTTGTGAAAAAATTAAAACTAGCACTGTTAACAATCGTAATTTTTTTCGACGAGAAAGCACAGCCATTTATCATCAGCTTTTTCTTTTGTTGTTAAATTTTTATTCTTAATGTCCTATGTCAGATTTGCCTGAATCAGGGCATCACTAGATAGCGCGTTTGGCATTTATTGAGAATGAAATGCTGGATATACCCCCAGCAAATAATATTTCATAACTGATGAGGAAAAATGCATTGAATGAAGACACGAGTTGTGGTCGTTTCGTTGTTCTTTGAACCTGTTTAATATTTATTCAGAATTTACTTTTCAAAACACATTCACGAAATGTCCTAAAACTGTCTGCTCAGCATACACAATAACCTGATGCTCGATTTGAAAGGTATAAATTGAAAACCACTCTTCTCTCTACTCTCCGGGCGATAGAACGTGATTTACCATATGGAAGGGGTAACAGTGGTTCCAGCCAACTCCTTGATTTATTGTACCGACTAAACAGGTTAGTTTCCAGGAGTGAATTTTTATGCGGTACCGGAAGATGTCTGCTGCGTAACCAGTACAGTCCTGTGCGGTTTATTTTGCGACAATTCGCCTATCAGATACGTATCATTGCAACACTGACCTTGCCAATGTTTCCTCGTAAATGTTAGCGAATTATTCGCTCTTCGCGCCTCGTCTCGCTCGCTCAATTCTATCTGTCTCTGTCCGTCACTGTGTCGCGATCTATGTCGTGCCGCGGGCTAATATAAACGCGGAAACCTTGAACAAAAGTCGTCTGCAGGTCAAAAGTGAATAAAAATAAAAGCTTAGCGGGCCCCCCTTGGAGGACCGTAACGCCATTTTCTTCAACGCTCAATGAAATTTAACTTTGAACGATGGTCGCTAGTCGAATGATGGCATAATTTTATTTTTTTCATGAATTAATTCAAATTTATTACTTGTTTTATAAATATATCTCTAGAAAATTTGGATTGGGAAGGTCATAAGTACCTCCCATACGTACTTTGTTAAAAATGGAGTTATTCAATATCGGTAAACAACTTAGAATTAAAGATCACGAAACTATCTCTAGCGGTCCTTGAACGTTTCCAAATGCTATACTGAATGTACCAAAAAAAAAGGTTACTTTTTGTTTGATTGATGACAAATTTTTTTCAAACTGAACTCCCTGTAATTTCTCAATTTAATGAGTTCTAAATTCCAATCTGAGTAAAAAATATTAACTCTGATAACTGATCATTTTATTTAGAATCCAAACATACTGGGTGCAATAATGGCACATCAAAAAATATCAAATTTTTAGTTAATGTAAATATTTTTTCTTTTAGAAGAGAATAATACGAATCATCACTGTAAATGTTGTAATAAGTAGGGGAGTTGATATGAGTTATCTCAATATTTTGATTTGAGACATTTTGGGGATGTGAGCGAGTACTATATGTACATTTGAAAATATTTTGAAAAGGTACTCTAGCTACTCGTATACGGTCATACCAAAATTCAGAATATTAAATATTACAATTTTGCCAACCGTCTAATAGGTTATTTACGTGAATCACTCTGTATACGTTTGTAATTATTGTCGAGAAGTTTTAAAACCTCACATTTCTACTTGTTTTTAGGTATGTGCATCTATCTAAAAAGTGCAGTTAAATCTTTGCTGTTTTTTAGGCCTCTTGTGTAATGTTCTTTGATTCAAAGATCTTCTATTCCTTATATTCTTCCAGATGAACACATAATAAATATTCACAAAAAGCGAAAAATATCTACTGAATTTGTCCATTTCAGTTTAAAGGCTAAAAAAATTTGCTGGTGAGAAAATTTAAATACCTCCCAACAGTGTCCAGACGTCAACGGCATGGAGAATAAAGAAGACGCCTCTTTTGGAAATAAAACAACTAATTTTTAAAAAATTATATTAATTTTTATTTGATTTCTTCAGATATGATTTTTGAATAAGCGTCTATGATAAAATACGCCAAATAAACCTTTTATAAAATAAATAAAATAAAAAGATATTCGCAAAAGCTTAATCATATTTTCATTTTTTTTTTTTGGATTAAACTCTAACATTTTTTCAAAAGTTTTAAACAATAATTGAAAAAATTACCAAATTGTAGAAATATTTTTGGGAAAATAGATCAAATGTACACAAATAATCAAATCATTTTATCACTTATCTCCTTTAGCATCCACTGAATTGTTTTTTCGACGGAAAACTGGAAATATCACAGATAACAATAGTTTGTTTCACAGATGGCTATGACTTTTGAAACGTATGCATTGGCATGGAACCATTACAGTTAATTTAGTCAAAGCATAGTTCGATTTAGTTTTGATAAACAATGTATCTTTGTAACATTAAAATTGACAAGCAATAATAATAGATAATTATAAAAGGACTGGTCCTGAGTAAACTTAAGTCGCCTTTAACAATTGCAAAATATAAAACATTGGTTTCAAAATCAAGCATGTATGATTGATAGTCGTTACAGTATTAACGAGTTAACTACCTCCTCAGTCCCCTGGGTTGATGTCATTGTCAAGGTTATTTTAATTATACTCGGTTTTTACATTCGATTTATTTGATACGCTTAAGTGAGACGCCAAGCGATTGTTACCACAGAGAAAAAATTAATGATTTTGATATTACAGCTTGTTGATTTAATACCACTATTAGTATACAGGAAGGCTAATAAAATCACGGCGAATAGGGCGGTGACATTTGTTGCAATCGTTCAAATTCGATTTGCGATTGAGCTTTTCAAAATTACAGCCATGGACGCCGGGTCTTAAGAGACACGTATTTCGGGAATTGTTAAAAATAAATTATTTTCGACTAATCAACGGCATTTTTAAAGACGGAATAACCGGTTTTTTAACACCGGAACAAAACAAGTTTTGTCTGTAGTCGCTATTTATGAATATTAACTTATTATTAAGCATTAATTAAGTTAAAAAAAAATACGAATGTGTTTGGCAATTTTTGTCATAAAGAAACGAAATTTCGGAAAAGGTGGACGCCAAACCTACGTCGGAAAATCGTACTACTATTATGTAGTAAATAAAGTAAATAAAAAAGATTTTCAGAAAATAAAATGTGACATTAACTGAAGCTCCTACTACATGGTTCTACAGAACAGTCCATCCACCAGTTTGTTGTTAAAAACAAGCTGTAGTTTTTGATTTGTGTAAGTTTCTATAAATAAATTTATAATAAAAATTTCTATTCCGGTGGGCTAGCTCGCAGTGTTCCAAGGAGAGACTTTCGCATTAAATACCGTGAAAGAGAAATGAAGATGAAAAACATTGGTAATAAAACAATCATCACTCTGCACAGTCAAGCGGCAATAAAAGTTATACAATCCAGCAAATTAACATCCAAGCTATTTTTGGATTGTCATAATGGAATAAACAAGATAGTAAGTCAGAAAAAGACGCTGTCGTGGATACCAAAAATGGGTAGTAACAGAATCCCAGCAATGGTGGAGGCACATGCCAAGGAATTCCCCAGTCCATCGGTCAAATATACAGCGTGCCTTCGAAGCTACCAAAATAAGGCGAGGAAGAAGAGGAAGAAATAGCCACACATGTGCTTTGCCAATATGAAGGCCTATCGAGAGTGAGTTTCCATTTGCTGGGCGTAACCAAACGAGAGGAAACTATCGAAGCTGTGGATAGATAAAGCTCTAGGGCTATGGAGATACTCACAATAGATCGCAGTGAAGTAAAGGCCAATTTCTAACTCTCCCAAGTTTGACTGTGAATCTTGAATGTTACCATTGGAAATAAAACTTCTACATATAAGATGTTTATTTTTATTTGCCTAAGTCCTCACCCTAGCTGCTGTGACATCAAATATTCCATATTATAGTTACAAATATCATTTCATGAAGCAGCATAAAGCCTTTCAGCATTTCAACGAACATTAAAGTCAAACGAAACACGTCACAAAAACATATCCCAGAAAGTAGAGATAAAATACACCTGGCTAGATGATGTCTCGAAAAAGGATAGATAACCAACATCCTCCAAGTCTTTGACTGCGTTCTTGAACCTGTTTATGGGAAAGGCCTTTATTAAAAAATATACAGTAGATACAGTAAAAGTTTGAACCTAACCTACTCACATTAGCGTTATGGTACTTAAAATTTATGTGACGTCATGAAGCTTAGGATTTGTCCCTCTTGTCTCTTTGTTGGCCCTTCTTACTCCTGTAATGTGTGACGGAATTGAAGTATAGGATTCTTAAAAAATACAAATTTTGGGGATTTATGAACAAATTATAGTAAAACCCTTTATAATACACCGGTAACGTCACGGTTGTTACTCTGTTTAATGCCATTCTATAAACAGAACGGCAGTAAAAACATAATCAGGTGGTAATAATAAAAACAACGAGGCACTCGCGTAACGTGGGAATAGGTAGGTACCCAAGGCCCGACCATTTCGTGGTAATTTACGCCTGGGAAGTGACCATTTACCTCGTCAAGATGCTTTGATAAATGATCACACGACACAAGTTTAGATTGTCAGTTTTAATGATATCGTCATTCGGCATAAATTTAAGTTTCCTTTATGAAACAATCAAACTTCATCAAACACAGTAAACAAATATTATGTGATGTTTTATTAAAATCGTATCATACGTACAAGGCTCCAATGCGAGAGACTTATAAATCATTCTTTAACTGCAAAACTTGGTGATTGATCGTCAAAGGTCTCGAGAGTGGCAAGTAGACAAGTCTGTCGTACAGACAGACGCAGCTGTCTAATAAAAGGAAAACACAAAATGTCACAAAAAAAAAAGAATTGGTCAAGATCCGGAAACGCATTCTCAACTATGTACATCTAATCAGATCTGAGTCATAAGAGTAGTTTGAGTGATCTAGATACAGCGAACGTTTGCCTATTTCGAAGAATGTAGGGATTACAGTAAAAGTATATTTTTTCCAAAACAAAGGGAATAATAAATCATAATTTGGTAGATGGTTTTCCAACGACTGCATACAAGATAAATGAAGGTTTTCACTATATTTAAAAAAATGCCTCGGTCTATTAAATCTATCATTTATAGCATTTACAACATTCTACAGAAGGGTATCAAACAATAAAAAAATACTAATTATTATACACTATACGTATTATCGAGATGATGCCAAAAACAGATATTTTAAAGTGGCATGAGAAACACGAAACGAATCAAAGAAAAACAAGTAGACGTGGCAACGTTGGCGCATTAAAAAGGTGATCTGAATGGCAGACGGCGGCGGGCCCCAGAAGCGACTGTTGGTGCCGCCTTGTTCAAGGCCACCTAGTTATTCAACGCATCGGTGATGATGAGGCAACAGCAGGTTGGTCGAATTTTTGGAGGTCGACATCGGCCTGAAGGATCTCCGATTCGTGTCGCATTTACCAAAAATCGTTGCAGTTAAAGGAGTACTTTAAATATTCTTAAACATTCTTTTAATTTTTCTTTATTAATATGCTATGACAGTGTAGACCTTTTTCATATGACCAATTGCAAACTCTTTAAAGGGAATTTTGCGCGGAAACTCTTAAATTTTATAAAAAAACCATTGCAATTTGTAGAAATACAATAAAGTCATATTACTTTAAAATATTTTATATCAGCGCGCTATTTTTATTCGCAAATTAGTTTCTGTTAATAATACCAATAAGATAAACGATATTTATCGAGTTTGTTTTTCATTACCTACATATTACATTGGTTCGTTCGGCGTATTTTGGTGACCTACTAAAATGAAAAATAAAATGACAGTAAATATATCAAAGAGGGAATTGGGTTATTTCGTCACCTACTGCAAACTTATATTTATTTTAAATTTCGGCAACCGACCTTTTTTTTCGATTAAAACGTAACATCGTTCCAAGGTTATCTAAGAAGCCCATGTTATTGTAATTGCGCGGCTTTTGTTTCTGATAGCGATAGCATTTTGCATTATTTTTATCTGTATACTGTTTTGCTTAATTAAACGCAGTTCGATTAATTTTTAAAAACAGCCGGGTTTTAACATTAACATAGCAACATCAACAACCCCAGAAACGTGAAGTCTAAATGTGAAAATTTTTATTTATTGATCGAACAAGAGTAATTCAATGTTAAATACAATACTTATTGCCAACAGGATTTACTCAAATATTCAACAAACTAATATCGATTTCCTTGTATTAACTGTGGTTCTGCTTCCATTTTTATGTAGTCGATGTCATTTCCGTAAAGGTTGTTGCGAAACATTAAATTTTGGTGCTTAAAATATGCACTTTTGAGGTTGTTTTAAAATACGGTATTTGGCTGCAAAGCAACAGAGATGGCGCAGAACCGTCAATACAGCGTTGTACCTGCTTATGCGCAGAATGGAAGGAATTTTTAAACTTTGGTGTTCCTATGGAATGGCGAGAGCCTAGGAATCACAAAAAAGTTTTAGTACTCCTCTTCATATCAGATTTTGCTGGATGAAGCAACTAAAATCCTAGACAAAAAGGGGCAGGAGGTATTTTTTTTTAGCATTCAGACAAAGATTTTCAAACAACAATGAAAAATGCCGAGAAAAACGTCTGGGTTTCATTTAAAGAAGTAATTGATAAGTTTTTTCGGAACTCTAAAGGCGAAAACTACATATTGCCATTTGCACACAAATTTCCTGTTTTCACACTTGAACTATTTTCCTGACAGTCTCGGAACAGATAGCGAAGAACAGGTTTCACCAGGACTTTAAGAAAATAGAACGGCGATACCAAGGCAGATGGATATGGGGATATGCCCTTAAAAACACACAGCCGAAAATAAATAACAAAAAATAAATTATTTTAGAAACGCCGTTTTTTTTCATTAATATTTGCAAAAACCTTTGATATAAATAAATGCTCAGAATTTTTGAAGTCTACAAAAATTATATAAAATCAGTTTAATTTACAAGACCTGTGTAATCCTAAAACTTATATTAATAGAAAAGTTCTAGCAAACGTCTAGTAACAATTTTATAATTAACAATAAAGCTTTAAGAAGTTATTGCAATTATCTAAAAATGAATACATAATAAACAAACGGCTAAAATCAAATTTGTGGATAAAACTCTGCAGCCCGACTGCACCAAATGGTCGAAAAATTTTTTTTTTTGCTTTTCAGAAGAAAGTTGGCCTTGTCAAGTAGTGATTTACATACGGTGGTTTGAAACAACCCTTGTACAACGTGTTGTGTCTAAAGGTTTAAAAAAACAGGCGAATCCAATTACGCTCGTTGTGCAGTAAACAAAAATGATTGCATTTTATATATTCTATTATATTTAATGACTTATAGTTAACACGTTGGCTACAAAACTTTGATAAATTTCACAATTTAAGGTAAGAAAAATCGTCCATTAACATCCTCGATTTACTGTCTAACAGGCCACCATTCATTGCGGGTACCAAACCGACAACAAACCGAACGAAAACAGTAAACATCTCAACTTCTTTGTTATTCGGTGGTCCGCGTGGACATAAGATCGTCGCTAGAAGGGGAACGTTTGATGTTGTTAACCTTAATCGTGACTGACAAATTAAAATGGATGTTTTTGAAAGGAATACGAATTAAAAATTGCGCAGTTGCTATTTCCAGGTCCGATGGCTATTCGTACAGGATGTCTTTAACGAAAACAAACGAGATCTGTATGCCGCGAGTGTAGTTAAAACGTGCCGGGTTTAGAAGCATAAAACTAATTAGATATTGTGCGATAATAAAGGTTGTTGAGCTTTCTCTAACCGATAAAAATAACGAAATTGAACGGGCAAGTTTTCGTATATTTTGCCCAAGCTTTGAACTTTTCTGTATTTCGAAATAAAATAACAAATGTTGACTTAAAAAAAAATGTAATTCTTAAATCTCGTGTAAGTAATTTTATTTTTAGGTGGTCTTTTGGAGCTTTTAAAATTAATATTTGTAACATGAAGAACATTTTTATTAAATTGTTTTACTTAAATAAACAGTATATGTAAAAACTTTTTTTTGGGTCATTACAACATGCCAACGACACGAAACGGATAATTGGAACTACAATTGCGAATTTTATTTTTTAATTAATATTGCGTTAGTGACAGAATTGCATTGTGCAGATGCGTGAGAATTTTACGCCCAAAAAAATGAATAAATAAATTGAAAGGAAATAAAAACGAAAGCATAAGCTACGAACAAAAACGAATAAAATACAAAGCGTTTCAGAGATCAATGGAGAGATAAGATAAGTTCATATGTATAAGCCCAAAATGCTTGGTTTGTAAAAAATTTGGTTTTTTATTAATTTATTATTATAAAAACCTTTGAGCTGATTTTAACAAATGAGTACGCAGAGTTTTATAAAAATTATTTTTAAAATTTTTTAGATTTTTAATTTTTATTCTGCAAACGCAACTAGATATAAAAAAAAAATCAGTAAATAGCAAATAGATTGCCCTCTTAGACGTCACCATGAAATAATGTAAAGTTTCGTCAAAGTCAGACAAGAGGAAATAAAAGATATATATATTTTTATAAACTTTAACAGACTATATGTCGAAAGCGCAACAAGACTTATTTTTGACTGATAAAATATTTGTATTGAATCTTGAAACACCGCCCATTTAAGCCCAATATTTTTACATGGATGGTTACCACACATGCTCGGGGACATATGATCGTGTGACACTATGGATCGTAATTGGTGTTTTAACATCGAGTGCGGGTTTATGACGTGAATGGAAATGTTGGTAAACTTGGAAGTCACTTACCATTTGCATACGGGTAACCTTAAATAAAACAGACATAATATTAGATTCGTAAAATAAGAAATAAACAAACGAAATATGTTATTATTATGGGAAAACAAAACAAAACAAAAGGCGATTTCACCTTTTAGGTTATATGTTTGTTGCAGATTTTTTCTTATTCTGCATTGTGAGCTAAAATAATAAACAAACACGTTTTTCCTGAGGTTTACCGATAAATTATTATTATTATACTAAATTATATGTTGTACTTCAATTAAAATTAGATGTTAATTACTTAACCACAATCGTTAATAAGTTTTAATTATAATTACAAGTATAATAATTATTATTAATATTTGGGCAGCTATTTATTTTAAATAATTGTGCAATTATGAATTAAATCAAAACTTATTAATAATTCATTGACATTCGTAAGTAAACCTTTTACAATGCGTAAGAAAAAAAAGAAAGTGGTAAGTAAAAGTAAGCGGTAAATAATGAAAAGGTATTCATTGTTTTTATCTTTTAATTGTATGACAATAATTCGAATTCCTGTAATCCTGAATTTTTTTTTCTGAAGAAGGATCCTACTACCCACATATACAACAGTTATTAAGTACTCCATGGCATTAAATATGTTAGGCACTAACCTTTAAAGAGAAAAATACTATTTTTGGCTTGACCTTAACAAACTCGTTATTAATGGAAACGATAATCGACGTGATCAATATTTCGGTTAATCGGTGACCCTTGGGGGAACGTGACCATCCAAATATTAAATTGCCCGCCAGCATCAGAGTAAGGCTCAATACAAAAAAATTCAGGCCTATCGTGACGAACAAGGATGATGCCGCGATGGCGTTTCTAAACCTTTTTCGGCAGGCGCACCAGTGAAATTTGTAAAAAAAAAATCGCGGACCAGTGATATTTTATTAACAACAAAAAAAGAACTACCACATAACTTCGTTGTAACATTTTCATTATGATTTACTAACAATAATATTAAAACATTCGGGGATAGAAAAGTAGTAAATTTTTATATTGAACAACGCAGGGAATTTGATTTATGCGACGCACTGGATAAATAATAGATAAAAAATGCATTCTTCTTTCCTTTAAAAAGAATTTATTTAATACATTAAAGGATCACATCATTTCAAAAATGAAAAACTACCCCAGATAGAAGAATCAACAAATAAAAAGAATAACCAACATCGTCATCACCATAATCATCAATCTGTTGAACTAAATATGTTATAAGCTATGTCACGAAAGTTTAGAGTAATAAAATGGTAAATTCCGTATAGTTGCGCTCAATGTAGCTGTCGGCGTAAGCGTAGATAAACTCTGTACAATAAACTTATTTTTGATCCTTTTTGAAAGTCCGATATTAATACCGAGAACCGAGAACAAAAGAAAATATATCTTGATGAGATACACCACTGATTTCTCTTGAAATAAAAATTATTCTTCCAATCATCAGTTATTTTTTTAACAAAATTTAATTTACTTCTTACAAAGCTTCTGGATTCATCCTCCGTCGGTTTTTGCTGAGTCGAACTAGCTGACGTTTCGCCAATCATCTTGTTCGCTTCTTCGGAGCTTGACTGAAACTGGCTCGCATTTTACTCTGTACCTGCTTATATATTGTTTGAGGGGGGTAGAGCTAAATGAGGGGGATAAACAATGTCTCGCATGACTGATTCCCATATTGATAACAGATAAAGACCTGAGTCGCGGTTAAGATTGTTAGGTTATTTATAGATTTTTATCGACTCTGCTGATGAATTTATTTGTCTTAGTCGTAAGACTCTTTCGTGTTCTTTGAGCCTAGTTGATATTTCCAATGTATTCTTTGCCGCATATGCATGGAATGCTGTAAACTCCTGGCATCTCAAATGGAATTTTGCGTTTGACGGACCGAAGATATTTAGAGATTTTGGCACAAGTGGTAAATCTGGTTTCGACGTTATACTTCTTTAGAACTTTTTAAATGCGGTCAGCGATGTTTTGAATGTAAGGAAAAAGAAGGACCACAGTGGCAAATGTAGGGTTGCTTTCAGCCTCATTGCTATTGGAAGGTTGTGGTGAAGTGTATCTTTTGATGGAACGCTTAATATCTTTAATGTGGAAATTATTAGACAGAATAGCAGAAGTAAAGTGTTTTAATTCTGGGTTCAGTGACTCGGACTGAGATAGTATTACAGCTCTGTAGAGAGTTGATAACCGACGATTTTTGGGCCGGATGGTGGTGTGACCATGCATTAAGGCATCGGTCTGTGTGCGTAGGTTTTCTGTAAACCCAATGACCCAATGCTAGGTCTGATTTTCTATTTATAAAAATATCTAAGAATGGAAGGTTATTATTAATTTCCAACTCAATAGTAAAACGTATGTTAAGGTGTTAGTCAAGCTCTGAAGAAGCGATGATTGGCGAAACGTCAGCAAGTTCGACTCGGCAAAAACCGTCGCAGGAGAAAATCAAAAGTATTTTAAAAAGTATTACAGTAAGCTCTGCATGGTCGTAACAATATCGTTAATATGAGACCATGCAGAGAAATTAGGTTTTATTTTTAATCGAAAACCGTGCGACGGACTAGAAAAAAATGATGAAATCAAATCTGCGCATAAATGAATCCAAACGTAATTTTTTCTACAGAAATCAGTGGCATGCAACTGATTCAATCGAGATTTTTTTTTGTGAAAAATGAAATATCTATCTAAAACAAAATATCTACTAGCGTCCAGAAAAAAAATTGGAAGACTGGTCTCTTTGCTTTAATAGTCTAAATTAACTAACATAACATCCTAACAACAGGGTTAATAATGAAAGATTCTTATTAAAAAAAAAACACTATATGCTATTAACAATTTTTAACAAAATTGTCTGTTAATAACGATACTGTCATGACCATGCAAAGAGGAGGTTTTTATTTTTTTAAGCGAAAATCGTACATCGGACTGAAAAAAACTAGCAAATTAAATTTTTAATTTCCAATTTTTATTTTAAGAGAAATCAGTGGCGTACCATCAATTTCTGACAAAACAGACATGTGAAATTCCATCACTGGTGTATTTTAAAAACAATTGTGGTACACTCTTGACACATAGTAAATGTGTGCCAAATTTCATTAAAATATATAAAATGATATTACAGATATTAAACAAATCAATTTTATTTTTGATAATTTTATCATCCTGTATCTCAAAAGCGAAGACGTTTAGGACAACTGTTGATAAGAAGTTTTATTTTTAAAATGGACCCAAAAATCGCCCCCTGCATAGAGAAGACTTGAAAATAATTATATAGAAATATTTGATATAATTTGATATAGAAAGAATATATTTTTGTTTTATATATTATGCCTAATTTTTGATTCGTAAAAATAACATTCTTTCCTTTTTACGAATTTCCTACTGTGACTCCTTTTAACAAGAGGCAAAATCAATAAATTGGCCCAAACCCGATCGGTACTATCTGCACTCGATAAAAAGAAAGAATTTTGCAATAAAATTAAAAAATGAAACTGGCTTAAGTATTTGTTTTGTAACTCTATAGTCCCTATGCGTAATGCGTGATAAGGTTTGGTTACTCAAAACTTTTCATAGAAGAAAGCTTGCTCTGTATGTAAAATAAAATCTATGACATCTTTTTAAAATCTGAAAATACGAGTTTTGAGAGTGATAAGACATCTGACAGTTAATTAATCACAGTTTTATCACTCCCTTATACATTTAAAATCGTAATATACCTAATTGCATCTGAGAACCACCGAATCCAGTCAGTCCCCTGCTCCAATGCTGGGCCTGGGCACCCTGTATAATCGCCGTCACTGACATCATCGGTTTTTCCTTCTTCATCATTTTTCTCACCAAAACTTTATCACAGACCGGTCGATACTATCACAAAAAATATATAGACGAATCCTGTCCAGACGAAACGACTTAATATCGATGTTGTCGAAGCACCAGACGCGAGACGTTTTAAAAATAAATCATCCTCAGGCGCGTTCAGATCCTCGCCAAAGTAAACATTTTTTTTTTATTTGCAAATATTTGCAAGATTGCAGTTTTGTTGATAAACCGGGCTTCGCGTTTCATCAAAGTCAACATTTTAATTTTGCGGTTACATTGTTTCCGCGAGGTCTATATAGTAGGCCTATTTCGAAATACCTAGACCGAAATAGATATAGTCCATACGAAGACAAATTGAACAACATAGAAGTAGATACAGGCGGGCATTTTGTTTTGGGAATTGATCATTGGTATTTTTTGTAAGAAGAGGAACAATTGAAAAAACAACGACAAAAATTTACGTTATAAAATGGAAGGTCCTGGAAGAATTAGAGTTTTAATTGTAACAGTGAATCTTTCGCAATGCAAAAATGTTGGTGAGGTGTTTCTTACAGGATTAGTTAGAACAAAAAATACACTAAAAAGCTACAAGAATATTCTAAAGGCCAATGGTACAATTGCAGTTTTAGTTGTTCGAATTCACTTCGTTCGCACTATAAAAATTAAGATTCGGTGTTTCTTATAGCCGACAAGTCATTCATAAATACAATTCGAGTGCCAATCAGTCGTCAACATCCTTCAAAAGTCAAGTTTATTTAGCTTGAATTATACTAACACTGTGCAACTCTGGTGATAACTTAGTTATCACCAAAGAAAATGTTGAAGATGAACACCGCATCATGATGTAAGGATTTGCGCTTCCCAAAGCTACTTGCGAACAAACGCCGAATAAATAAAATTAGTAAGCCAATTAATCATAAACTATTAAAATATGTCAAGTCAGGTATGGGTAAGTATGCCTTCCCAAAGCTACACCGAACAAAATCACGAATGAAGATAAATATTGTATTTAACTTTTATCATAAAATTTGTAGAAATTTATTTTGTAGCAAAATACTTTTAAAATAATTGGGTAGACTATATTTTTTTCTAATCCATCTTTCTTGTAATTAAAAGACATAATTATGTTCTCATTTAACTCGTGGGGCTTTATGGTGCTTTGTAATCTTTTGTTTTTTAGACTCCGTGAAGTTGTAAGTCTTTAAATTTAATCCGTTGTGGTATTTGTTTACTTACATAATTTAAGGTTGAAAATTTTCATTATTTTCTATAGAAGGTGTGGGTGTCGGTGATATGGGAAGGAAAAACTATTATTTAATTATATTGGTAATTATTTATGTTTTTCATTGATGATTTTTGTAGAACGGTTGGATGGTTGATTATTATAGTATAACTGCATAGATTTGACGCGAAATCTTATTTTTTCCTTAAATTCTCCTTAAAATAATAATAAAATGGTTTTATTGTGAATACATCAAAAGAACATATTTCACAGTGTTAGTGCCTCATTTTTGTAGAATGGTTGATGGTTGATTATTATATTACAACTACACAGATTTGGCACGAAATTTTATTTTTTCTTTAAATTCTCCCTAAAATAATAAAATGATTTTACTGTGAATACATCACAAGAACACTTTTCTCAGCATTATTTAGATTGGTAATTATTTATGTTTTTTATTGGTGCCTCATTTTGGTATTTTTATTCATATAATAAGAAGAATATAAAAAAGATATTTTTCAATCATGTCCAGCGATATCAGTTTTTAGTTACCCGGTCAACAGTATTTTTGAAAGTTGTGTCAGGTAAGTTCTATAGATTAAGCCTTATAATTTAAATACTTAGACCTGATGGGAAAACGATCTGATGGAGACAAGTGATTAATTTTAACTTTTGCTCAGTTAACTGCATATAATTTTTGATAAATCAATCTTTTAAAAAATGTAGTTATTTGAAACTCTTATTTTCTTTCAAACAACAAAAATGTGGAAAGTTTTACCTTTCAAGCGTCTTACCAGAAAGATCAACAATTAGGGAATCACCTGCAGAACTTAAAAAAACAGCTCGGGCGCATAACGCGTCTTTTTTCCTTTAGAAAATGTGTAAGGTATTTATTTCAAGCTATTCTCTCAAAGCTCAAGGTGAGATTAGTATGTTTATAGTAATTGCGGCTATAAAATTTGGCAATATCATGGCGACCTTCGGGGACCGAAGCCTACTCGACAAAAAAAATGTTTTAAACAATTTCCGCCGCGGTTTGTTACGTGATACCTAATATTTATTTATAATTTAGGGGAATTTGGTGCCTCGTTAAGGGATTGGCACAGCTGCCACCTTGACCTTGCAGGTTTCTGGTACGTACCCAAAAAATGACATCTGTTCTAAATCCAAGCTAAATAAATAGACCATTTACCGATCGGAAATTATTCGAATTTTTTTATGTTCCTGAGTTCGAAACACCGAACCAAAAACTTTCAGAATGAGGGAAGATGTCGTAGCAAACTTGTGCCGGTTTGTTTTTTTTTAGAGGGTTCCAAAAGTCTCTCGTCAAAACGCACCGCGCATTATCGCACTATAAAACTGTTCGACGGCGACTAACGACACAGTACGTGGAGGACTATGCCAGACTACGGATGGCTGAGAAAACAACCGTCGAAGAGCTGGGGGGCTACCGATGTCGATCTGCGCCGCGATTCGCAGATACGTCTCAAGGACGCGTCTCGGCCACGTGTTTGGATACATTAGAAAAATTGGGTGGGCAAAAATACATTGTGACGCTTTCAAAACCTACTGCCGAACGGTTCAGTTAATTTCGACTGGATAACATTTACAGGATACAATATTTTCACTTAAATGGTAGCAAATATAAGGCGGGTTATTCAAAATTCTATCAGAAAAAGTAGGCGAAAAAGTACCAACTCCCTCACACCATCGAAGTAATTTCCAAGCAAAAAACTGTTTGTTGAAAATGCCATTTTCCGAGCGTATATTTATAGTCGACCACCAAGGTAATCCTTTTAGTCAACTTACTCGAGGATCACCTCAAGTTCACCTTAACATATAGATTTTTTACGAGGTTCAAAAAACCATCCAAAATTGCTACGCCAGATTTCACAAATATTACAGTTTCCACAATGATTTCACAAATTTCAGATTTTACGGATTTAGATTTTTTTTTTGGTTATGGTCTGTATTTCGTGGCAATAAAAAATGCTATAAAAGTAAAAAAAAAACACTTAAAACCTCTTTCCGAAAAATGAAAAAAAAATCCATAAATTTACAAAGTTGGCAGAAAAATATTTATAAAAATTTTGTCCTAATTATTCCCTTTCTCTCTAACTTTAATTAAGTTTTTTAGAAAAGATACATTTAGGTAGGAATTTCGATAATTATGGGTTGTTAAAAAAATACAATTAAAACGAAATAGAAAAACAGCTGTTTTTTTTTAATTTGGTCTTGTGCCTTTTATCGTGTAGCCTTAAAAATGCCAAAAAACGAGACGTAAGGGAGGGATAATATAATTTCAGAAATTCTTAACATTTATTAGTAAACAAATTAAACAAATAAAGTTGGAGCTTGGACAAATAGTTTTACTCGGGTAGAAAAAAGTTTTACTCCTCACGTTAGTTTAATATCACCAGAAATCACTTAAATTATATATAACGTAAAAGACAAGTGAAGAGAAAAAAAAATAATTAAAAAAAAATGCTATTTTTAATGCAGTATTTTCTATTATATCCCAAACAAATAAGCATTTGATCCATTGGAGAAACGGATAGTTTTGTTGCAGTGTTCTGTTCTAGGTTAAGAGTTAAAGGTTAATGGATTTTGCTTATATATGGCAATATATGTCTGCTTTCTTCTTTCCAATTATTCCACTCAACGAAATCAACAATCCATTTGAAAGATGTCTTTTGCGATTTTATTACGCAAAAATTGAATAGATTTCCTTCACTTGTCAACCAAACTCTACTTTACCTAAAATTCTTCTTCATCCAGAAGCCGCACTTTTTCGAAATGTGGATAATGCTATTTTAAATTGACGTACTTAGACTTAAGGTGCTGAAAGACCTTCACAATAAAATATCGTCCTTGAGTAATTCCTATTAATTGCAGAGGAATAAGAAATCCGCGGATAATGCCTGTAAAGAAAACAGAGCTTAGCCTGAAACATGGATTTATTTTATCTTCAGATTTAACCATTTTGGGAGGGGTCAGTATAAATTGCACGGGAGTCGTTTTAAAAGTTCAGCGAATAAATGTTTTTTTTTTACCAGAGCAAAGAAAATATTGTTCCAGTTATTGAACTGAGGTGGCTTTTACTTGATGAAAATCCATTTATCAAAATAAATAAGAACTAGAAGTTCAGATTTTCACGAAATTATATATTTCGACATGGCAATTGTTTCGACAACACCGTGTTTTTATCAAAATATATAATTTCGTGAAAATCTGAACTTTTAGTTCTTATTTATTTTTATTGTTCCAATAAATGGTTACAAAAGGAAGTAGAAAAAATTATATACATACATGTAAATGTAAATAATTATTTCAGTTCTCTTTTTGTTACTTTCGGAACTGAACTGTTTTACATAGCAACCAAATAAATATTCGAATCATGGTGGGATGTCACATTAGACTTTTACAGTGAACGAGAAGTAGGAATGTTCTATCTATTATTCGATTTTTCGTTAGGGATTTAAAACTTATAAAATGATCTGGACGTTTCTGGAGCTATCAAAATCCGAACGTTGTCAAGCAAATGGGATACTAAGAAATGTCTTGTTACAATGTTTTTTTATTAGTAATAGTTATCAATAATTTATATAAATGTTTGTTGTAGATTTTTAAAAACCTCACTTTACCACGTCAGTTTCGTTTCCCACGGATCCGAGCCACTTCGGACATTTCCGGGATTTTACCGCGCTGGTTTGGTTAGTTTTGGTTAGTCAGTGAATGTATTAGTGTTGTTTTGCAAAAATGTACCCAAAAAATAACGGTCATAGACAAAGTATAGTATGCAACACGCTCGGTAAACATTTTAAGTCACTCGTATATTAAACACTCGCTCCGCTCGTGTCAAATAATCTCGTGAGTCAAATGCCGTTTACCGCACTTGTTGCGTAATATACTATTAATTGCATGAAAGTAAAGCAAACAACATAAAAATCATAATCCTTCATTCGATATCAAATTTGCAATCATCATCATCAAACACCTCATTTACGAGTGAGTTTCAGCGAGAGCACTCCCAGGTAACAAGAAAGTTGATAAACTTGAAATCACTAATTACCCATGCCTAATCAGTTATTATTAACAAAATCACTTCTTTTAATTAATTTGTTTTATACTGCAGATAAATATGTGTTTTTTATTTAGACGTTTCTAATTGTATGTACAACGTTTTCAAATGGTCTCTGTTTTTAGACTTATTTTTATTGTCACGTTTGAGTATTTTTGAATATACCATTGGCCTCTATTTGCCTTCTTCCGGTTGTTTTTTCATTGCCACAATCTAGAATATATGAAATCTTTAAAGCATTCTTAATCATGCCAAACTCTCTTCGGAAAATCTTGCATTACAACAATTCAGAACATAGATGACCAACCCACTGTCAGCAAATCTACGACCGATTCTCCTATAGCTGTGAAGCTTTCAAGGTCTCGGCAATTTCGTGAATTGTATTCTCGGAATTCGTAACGCGCTGTTGCAACCGGAAAAAATTGCCCCGTCAGCTGCTAGATCAAGGCCTTGCGAGCGGCAAGTTTCAAGTTTCATACTTTATTGTTATTTTATGTTTGCAAAAAAGATCCTCCGCGTATAACAATAATCGCGAGGAAGCCCTGGTACCTAAATACATATAAACTTTAGTCGCGTTCTTTTTCTATAATAACTGGTCTGGAATAAATAGACTGGAGCGTGCGCAATCCTAAGCATCTTGTTAGAGCTTATACCGAACCCTTTTGGGAGCTCGGGTTTTGCGTTAGGGATTATTTTAAGACAATTTTTGAACAGTTCAAACTAGTCCACGGTCTCGAGCACCCTTTCGGATTATCGTTCCTTAATTTTTCATATATTATATTATATTATTTCGGTAATTATATCAGAGCGTCACTGAAAAAGTTTTATTGGCAACTGACGTAGACGGAATCCAGAAGATTTGTAGATAGTATTATTATATTGTATTGGAATTTTTAAGTTTTTTAAGGGTATTGGAGGTGAAATCCTTTAAGGACGCATCGCGTTTTAAGCCTACAGGATTGCCATCAAATCATCAAATGTTATATATTGGAAATTTAACGGCTGGACGGTTCGGGGATTCACATTTTGCTTTTTACTTCTGGTTCTACAATGTTGCCATATTTTTTAGTTGGGTAATTGTCTGAACTGCTTCCCGCTTGCTCCTGTGTTTGTTTCTAAGATCTCAGAATCAAAAATCAGTTCATTTGGTAAGTGAGCGTTTTTTCAAGATACTATTCATATCTTACTGCTAAAGTACAGGTCTATTTTTTATATTTGCTATATGGGTTAACGAGAAAAAGTTTTGATACAAAAGATGTATAATTTTTACAGTATCGCTAGCTTGAGATAAATGTGCATCGTAAAGTTGAGAAATGGTAGCATTTTTTTTATTTTTAAATTTTTTATTTATTTTTTGTGTTATGACCATTTTTGAAAATGGAGATGACGACATGAATATTTTGCTCTCTTTTGACGGCACTTTTATGAATAATAATTACAAATAAAATTCATATAATAAAAAATTAAATTTCATATAATTCTTTAGAAAATCCCGAAAGTTCAATCTCAATTGTTGCCGCACAATTGGGAATGTTATACTACAAGATTCAGTCCACTTTAAAATATTATAAATATCACCCATAGAAATTTACTCAAGTCCAAGGCTTATCTGAAGGAAATAAAATTCAACGGCAATATAAGCACTATTGGGCAAATGAAAACACATAAAATTCAGATAGTAGGTCGGTTCCTGTTTGGTGTGGCACACTCGCCTACCAATTAATCGGACCGACGAAAATTATTTGTAAAGCCTTCCAGTTCGCCAATTACATTGGCTTGATTTAAACCCTATTCATATTTTCCTATGGGTATTTACTTTATTTTGAATGCGAATCATAAAATACAATATAATATTAGAAAATGTTTGGAAAATGGTGGATATACACACATAGCCATTCACTTCACTTTATAGTTTCATTATTGTTGGTTTAATTATCGTTATCGGTTTTACTATCGTTTGTTTTTGATATTACGTTCTTCAGAATTCTTAGTATTATTGGTTAATCAATACTTTGAAATAAATAAATAATATATAAAAAATAAATAAATTGAAATAAAAAAAACGAACTACTCGAAGTTTTTCTTACACTGAATAAAACAATTTTTGTAACTGAAAGTTTCAATTTGCGGAATGCGTGACCAACGTGATTAACATCTGTATAATTAATCGAAAAGTTAAACTTAAATAATTGTAGAACAATCTATATATTTTTAAAATCGGGAGATGCGCTCAAGCTTCCTTTTAGCAGTCTAAAAGATGGTACTGCAAAAATTATACAAATTTTGGATTAAAAGTTGTTCTCGGTGACTTCCGTTAATCCCTGTTCCGTAAA